ACCCTCACATCCATGGATACAGACAAGTTATGTCGAACAACGTAAAATATTGTGTTTCTTTTTGTATGGTATTATTTGTTGTTCTTTATTTTAGTGTTTTTTTTACTCCTTCGATTTTTATCATGGTATCAGAGCTAAGTCCAGTTAAGCTGAGTGTTTGACCAGCGAGTGAGGACTTAGAGCCAACAACTATCTCCATCATGACTCAACATATGGGCTTGACCATGAGAGAGAGTGTTGAAGTCACACACGGACTAGACACACTCAAATCTACTGTTTTATAAGAGAGAGTAATCCTCCCATTTAACAGGGCGCTGAAGAGTCAACACACCTCAAGTTTTATCCATTATTGTTATTATAAAAGAAATGAAAGAACAAAAAGATACAAATCTTTCATATAATACCTTCATATGAGAGGCAAAATACCAAACAGATCGGATCCACTCTAGTGTGTAAGCGACGGCCGCAGTTTGAGAGAAAAGCGAGAATGAAAAGAACATGAGAGCCTAGAGATTAAAGATAATGCTAGCTAGGCTTACTAGTTGAACACAAACCAAGAGAAAATCAGAGGTAAAATGTGAAAAATGCTCCTTTCAACTTTTACTCAGGTTAATTGATCGTAATAATGATATAATTTGAGAATCAAAACCCTAATTAATTTGTCAAAGGTGAATTAGTCATGGCGGTGCACCAAACTTACTTTCTGGTTTTTTAAATAGAGAGAGAGAAGATGAAGATGATTGTTTTGGATTACACAGCTCATACTGGCCATAAAGTTAAAGATTTAAAATTAATTAATAGACCACCGAACCAAACTTTGATTTCTCGATACGCAACACAACGTTCACTCTGTCAATTCTTTCCCAAAATCTTGGCATGCTTTGCTACATTTGGCTTTCTTGTTCATACAGTACTATTACTATAATCGGATTCCCCAAATAATTTCAATAGATCCATACATATTCATGTCAAATCAGTCAAACACATTCAGCATTTGACCTAACTAACCATTACTTTTAGAATTAAATTTATATATGTCGTTCACTTTCTTTAGAAAATTGAAGAGGAAGAATGAATTGAAATTACATACCTTGCATTGCATGCCCCGATTTTATCACCACGTTTCTCTTCTTCTTGAATCCTCAGGGTTTCCCGATAGATCTATGAGATTTTGAACGCTAAAGTGGTAGAAATATAAGGAGAAATTCATCTCGGATCAATTTCTGGTTATCAACACCGTGCATCTGATCAGTTATCAACGTACAAGTGTCACTTTCATTGATTTTGGTGGCCAGATATTACCAGACAGTACTTCCATATCTGTGCTATTAACATGGTAAGCTTTTTCTACTTTGTGTTGAAGGTGAGAGACTGAGAGCTAAGAGACAAAACTAAAGACAAATTTTAATGCCGAGTTACTGAATCCAGGGCTAGGCTCCAGCTGTTTATCAGGCCGAAAAGATTGGGCTTTGCTTATATCTCACGGTGTACTTATAAATATTTCAGTCAATATTTGAAATTTTTTGCATGACATCCGTTCCTACTGATAATGGATTTTTTCCTAATTCAACAAAGACGTCTCTCCAGACTCCAGGAGGTGAATTAGTATATACGCTTCGCCAAAAAATTTGGACCAAAGATTATTTTAATCAGTTCATGCTTCTCCTCCTAATTCTTTGTGTCCAGTTTTGTGACAAATCTTTTTGATAATCATTAAATTTGTACTCCATAAGGCCCATCATGACATTTGTATAGTAACAGTAACTCCACTGTCCCATACATCTTACATCATTCTTTCGTTGGAAATTGCAAGCACTTTTGCATATTTTTCTTGCTCCAAATGAGTGAGAAAAAAATTAACACTGTAGTATCTCATTTGAGAGATATAATAGTTCTAACCACCATGATTGATGAAGATGACCTAACTCTCACTCTTGATATGTTCAGATATGAACATGATTGATCTTTTGACTTGAGGGAAATAGTAATACTTCATCTAGATCTCAAACTGTGCATAAATCAAGCCGGAAGTTGGAAGTTACATGTATATAATTTAGTGGGTTGAAACGCCTGGTTAAAATGGCTAAAATACTTGAAGACAAAGTTTCTGGTCCCAACCCAAGCATTATTACAGGTAAATAAATAACTGGTGCCCACACCATGTTATCTCCAAATCTTCGTGGGTATTTTTGGCTCACTCACTCACTAAATCACTCACTCACTCACTCAATCAAAGATAAAATAAAGGTTGAGTACTGGTTTGGATTAAAATGCCAAATGTCACATCATATGTTTGAGGATAATAACAGGCCGCAGCAGCAGCATATGCCTCATCTGAAAAATGTACTCCATAAACGAACAGTTCCTTTATTTGGAAATTCTGATATTTCTCTCCCCCAAACCATTATGGTGGGACTATATTGCTCACTCGTTTTCATGTTTGTCACGTGCATGTCGTGTCTCAGCTCGGAATCATATATTATAAAGTGATGTGACATAATATAATTAATTTACCTTATATTTTCTTTAATTAAATTTACATTAATGTTCCACGATATTCATCACTCCAATAAACTCGCTATCGGCTTGGCCAGGATGAAAATGACTGGAGCTAAGCTAAGTTGGAGTTAATCCTTGGCCTGGTGCATGTATGCTTTGCATTTTCCATCCGCACGAGAAAGATGAAATTGTAATTGAATGGACAGATGTAAAAGAGAGATCATCACTTATCAGGCCCTGAGAAGGTTAATAATTGATTAATCATGAGATTTGATGATCTCACCAGATTTTGGATTGATTCAGTTAAATTAATTAATGGCCTCAACTTTTTGTCTTTTTATTCACATATATTACTATTTCATCTCGTGAATATGGCCATATGGGTCCATGGGATCACATCAAATAAAATATTTTTGTTCAACTTTAACTGTTTTACAATTTATTTATTTAATTCGAAAAGTAACACTGAAAATTCACACTTTAATTTTATAAAAATATAAAATCTATTATTGATTAGATTTGTTATTATATTATAATAAACGAGTTTGGGTAAAACTCACTTTAAAAAAAAAATTATTATAATATAAAATTTATTATTGATTAGATTTATTATTATACTCTTTCTCACGCTTAGCGTACACGGTTAGGGTCTAAACCCACTATCGCCTCGGCCAAAGTCCAAACCCACCAAGACCCACTATGGCCCCCAAACGAATATGTTTTTGATACCATAATAAACGAGTTTAAGTTGTTTAATGAGGGAATCCAACCATATATATATACCTATATATACCATAACAGTTCAATAGATATTATAACAACCAATTAAATTAATGATATGAGACAAACATAATTTTTAATGTATTAAATTGCATGAAAGAATAATAAAAGGGAATGTTTATTAAGAAAAAAAAAAAAAAAGAAGTGCGTGGAGTGTTTCATTTGTTGGATGCAAGTGAATCGAAGCTGAAATTCCATAGTTTGACCGAAAGAGTAAAGACAGTCAACACGTCAGTTTATAGGTGGGAAATTTCCAATTGAATTAAAGTAATACTACACATACATCATTTTCATACAATATTTCTCATACAATATTATGTGGTAAGATATGATTAGCTAATTTAAAGTTAAAATTAAACTTTTATCCAATCACATCTTGCCACATAATGTTATATGGGAATGATGTATGTATAGTATTATTCATTGAATTAAGCAAAAGAGTATCGCTTTAATCTTTATCAAAGGTACCAAAAGAGGAAATAACTTCAGATACCATCTTTAGTTATTTTAAATCCAAATCCTCTCTCACTCGGTGCTTTAAATTATCTCTCTACTCATGAATTTTTTCCCTTCATTTATGTACATCTTTTTATATATATTCCCATTATTTCCTTTTCAACGCTTTTTATTTATTTATTTATTATTAGTCTTTTCTCACATCACCCCTATAAAAAATATGAGCACAAACACACTCCCAATAGTTTTACACAGGCCATAAGTCAATGACTAACCAATAACAATATTGGCAAAAGGGGAACACCCCTAAAGTTGACTTAAATAACATTAATACTCACACAATTTTTTAAAACTAACAAAAACATCCCAAAATTATCATTATACTATACTTTCAAGGGGTATTGTTGTACTTTCCCTCTAATAATTTCCATTATTGAATCAAAGAAGATCTTGGGTCTTGATGCCAATTCCGTTCATTTTTTGTTTGTTTTTTTTTTTTTAAATACAATAATTCAACTTTATTTGTAATTGTTTACTTATCGTGGGTCCGATGAATTGTGATTTTATTTTTTATAATTAATATAGTATTGTCACATCATTAATTACATTATTTGGAATTCTTGATTTGTGTACACAAAATTAATATTATTAATCCATTTATTTTTTCTTTATTTGGACGTATTTGATTCTTTATTCTCATTATTGAAATGAGATAATATTCGTCTTATTATTTTATATTATACATCAAAAATAGAATATATTATATATTTTTATAATAAAAGGCATTTATTTATATAATTATCTTTTTTTTTTTTCTAATGAGTTGAAATTATATTTCTCAATAATCAATGTAAAAATATTTCGAAAATCTGTGGCCGTTGGATGAGAAATGAAACGCACGTGCCAGAACGCGTCGTTACATGGTCGGAAGACAAATTTGTGATATTGTAAATAATAGTGTGGGGCAGGGCGGTCAAATCTTCTTAAACCTTAGATCTTACTTCTTAGAATGCATGTAGCGTGGCAGAGATCTGGTCCAGTCATCATCATAATTACCTCGTGTGGGTCCAACAGCCGTTTTTTTTCGGAGAATGTATCTTTTATTTATATCAATCAATCATCGCCCAACCCACTAAACCCCCCCTCTACCTCCCTCTTCTATTACAAATTTTGCATGCACTGCCGTCCATTCTCTCATTGGCTTCTTCTTTCTATAAATACTCTTTCATGTTCTCCTCTTCTCTCAATTCTCAGCCACTACTCAAACTATAACTCATTTTTTCCTTAACGATATTACTCTATTCCTTACTTCTCCAATATGAAACTTTCTATTGGAGTAGTTAAGCCATGCAGTAGTTATAAACACTTGGTTTTCGCCACCACCACCACCTCCACTACAACTCCTTCAGTGAAGCAGATTTACACTACGTCTTTAGCAGCTAAAAACCCCAAATTCTCATGGAGTTCTGTTGAATATGACTCTCTCACTCAATCAGTCAAACTAGGAAAGAATTGGATGGAATATCAGGGAAGCAACAATTGGGAAGGTTTGCTTGATCCACTTGACGATAATCTACGAACTGAAATTCTTCGTTATGGACAGTTCGTTGAAGCTGCTTATCGCTCTTTCGATTTTGACCCTTCTTCTCCAACTTTTGCCACTTGTAAATACCCCAGGAATTCCCTTCTCACACGCTCCGGAATCGGAGAAACTGGCTATAAAATGACCAAGAATCTACGAGCCACTGCTGGAGTACAGTTACCTAGCTGGGTTGATAGAGCACCAAGCTGGGTATCAACGCGGTCCAGCTGGATTGGTTACGTGGCAGTTTGTCAGGACAAGGAAGAGATAGCAAGGCTTGGAAGACGTGACGTGGTAATTGCCTTCAGAGGAACAGCTACTTGCTTAGAGTGGCTCGAAAATTTACGTGCTAACTTAGCTAGTTTACCTGATGATCTGGCTCGTGATCGTGATAATCATGTTAATAAAAAATGCAGGCCCATGGTGGAGAGTGGATTTCTGAGTCTCTACACTTCAAGAACAGACACGTGTCATAGTTTACAAGAAATGGTGAGAGAAGAAATTTCAAGAATTTTTGAAATGTACGGTGATGAACCACTTAGTTTTACCATCACCGGCCACAGCCTAGGAGCTGCGCTTGCTAAAATAACAGCATATGATATAAACTCAAGCTTTTCCAATGCACCAATGGTGACTGTTATTTCATTCGGAGGGCCACGTGTAGGCAACAGAAGCTTTAGATACCAGCTGGAAAGAAGTGGGACCAAGATTCTCCGTATTGTAAATTCAGATGATCTCATAACAAAAGTACCTGGATTTGTGATTGATAATAGTGAAGTGGCAAACAAGCAAGCAGTTAACGTGGCAGGCATTCCAAGCTGGCTTCAAAAGCGCGTGGAAGACACACACTGGCTTTATGCCGACGTGGGAAAGGAGCTGAGACTTTGCAGCAGAGACTCTCCTTACCTTGGTAAAGTCAACGTGGCCACTTGTCACGAGCTCAGTACGTATCTCCACTTGGTTCATGGTTTCGTGAGTTCCAAGTGCCCATTTAGAGCCTCAGTGAGGAGTGTGTGAGAAGCTGGGCTTTAGATAGATTTTTTTTTTTTTTGTCAAAAAATTACCACAATTGTATATGAAAAGAGAGAGGTGTACATTTTAGTGTCCTCCCATTCAATTTTTTTTAAGGCTTCCTTTGGTATACTTTTTTTAATAATACTGTATTCTATTTTGAATAGAATAAGATATGATTTAATCAAATATGATAGAATTCTCATAATGTATTTAGTACAATTTTTAAAAATATTTAGATTATTTTTTAACTCCTAACATTTGTTAATTTAAGTAAACAACCCTCCCCCCCAAACAAAAAAAGTTTATAAACACCTTTATCCACTCAATTGATTGCCAACAGTCGATCATCACCATTAGACGATGGTCGGAATGATGCATAATCAGTTAGATCTAGCCGATCGTGCGTCATTCCTGCCATGACAGTGGCTAGCGATAGTTGTTGACGGGCGACTGTTGGTTGGATGAATTGAGATGTTTTTGTTAATTTATAAACTTTTATTGAGAAAGATAATTGTTAAATGTTTTGAATTTAATTTCGAACAATATTAAAACAAACACGTTTTTTTAGGATATGATAATAGAATAGCAGAGGGTCGGAAAAGTACAAGTAGGGGGTTACATGTTCTGATACGAGGCAGCATTCTCTTTTTGGTACAAACTTTCCGGGCGAGTTAACGACGACGTATTAGCGGAAAAAGGGATTCTGAAATGTGGGGAAAAGTAGGAGTGGACGACACGTGGGTGAGTGTCATAGGCATCATTACGTTAGAAAGGAGGATAGATTTGGTTCCATTACAAGTAAAATAAGGCGTGTTTTAAGCGCTTGATAGTCGGTGGTCAGACGCTGAAACCTTATGGTTACCATTTCATTAACCTCTTGTGGTTTAATAAGTAAACACTCAGCCTCTACACTACCAATTTTCGTCCCTTCCTTATAATATTTGTGGCTGCAGTTTAATTTGCTTGGTAATCTCCTTATCTATACAACCGCCTGTTGATTTTCTTTTGGATTATTGTTGAATGCTTTGGGGCTTTGACAACTTCTCTTTGATATTCCTTAGCTTGTAGTCTGTAAGTATTGGGTGGAGGTGGACGGCTGAAGCGTGTATACCATGTGTGTTTGTTGTTAAGATCCATGCAACTACTAAACTTTATTGAATGAGGATTTCTTTGTGAAAAAATTAAAACAATGTGGAACATGCACACCCAAAAATAATAAGCACAAGTCTTATATGAAGTGGTACAAATTCCTGGATTCAACTTTATATTACCCTATCTGTCCCACAGTCCCACTATCATTATTTTTCTTCAATCGTTGTCACTTCTTGTCAGAATCTTTCAAGTCCAATAGTCATATACTCCTTTGAAACCAAAATTTATCAAAAAAGTGAGGAAATACACTGCATATCTCTGTTTTCTGTTTGCGTGCAAGGAATTACAAGCTCTGAAAGTCGGTGGTCTATTCTAAATTTTTAACTTGGTACTGAATTTAAAAATAATTAGAATGCGGTCGTCCAGCTCCCACTCCAGGTTCATTGCAAGCAAAGCTCGTGGGTTTTTCTTGTGTCTCAGGGACAAACATATTAAAAGAAGTTGTTAACAGACTACTCGTTATTTCATTTACGAATCTTTTGACGAATTAAAAGCTTTCCAAAACAAAAATATATATTTGAACCTCTCTTGAAGATCAAAGGGAAACCCTGATCATTCTTGTAATTGTTTACCCCAATTTGACTGCAAAACTTACCTTGCGCAGGATTTGAGGAAGAAATTTATCTTCATTCTTCAATGGAAATAAAGCATGAGCGTCATTATCGACATCTGTTCCAGTAGTTTGAGTAGATCGACCAATAGAAGAAACCGAAAACGTTGAGTCGGTTAGAGGAAGGGTCGTTGCAATAGCCTATTCTCGACCTCAACTCGACCTTTACCTCCTTATCAGTAAGGTGGCTGTGTCACCAATCCTAGAACTATTCAGTAAATTTCGACAATAATCTGAAGCAATCTCCTGCTTAATTCTAATTAGTCGCATGTTACTACAACAGTGGGCTATTATGCCATAATCAATAATTGTTTTTTCTCAAAATTTTATTGATTCACATATGTAATTACCCAGTTAATCAAGTATTCTGATCAAGATTGCTTATTCTCCTCAAGTTTTGAATTACATGGACCAATAATATTTACGGTATAAAACTACAGAAATATACAATGGACAGTTTTTTACCCTTTCCCTTTTTCTTTGAAAAAAGAAAAAAACAGTCATTGACTACTACGAAGATGCTCGAGGTCTTTAAATTGAGCTTTCAACAATGCATATTCACGCCGCATCCTGTCCAGCCGAACCTCAAGCATGAGCATCTCGTCCTTAACATAATGCATTCTTTTTTCCAACCAAGCCGTGGTTTCAGCTGATCTTTCTCCTATCCCACCACCCATATAATCCAATGGAGATACCACGTGAATGTGTTGGGGTCTATTTAATAGCACTAGTATGCTCACCTGAAATTAAAATTAATCAACACAAAGTATTCTCAAATTCATGTATAAACATGACGAACAAAGTACAGCATCAAACTAGTTGTCAATTCATTGGACAGAGATTTAAATGAACTAAAGAAATGTAACAGGCTGGTTCGGAATTGCACACCTGCATCAGGATTATCACAGCAAAAGCAATGACTAAGATCAATGAAACACGGTTTTGGCTTTTCAGATATGAACAGAATTTCTTCATTGATTCTCTTAACAAAGATGTAATGTTAGTAGCGCTAATCAAGTTTCCTTCCAAGAGATTGCCAACTTGTTGGTTAGCATCTAAGGAACATGACCTGGGTACTGTCCGTAGTTGGTCATCTATATTGCTTAACCTTTCTGAGGATTCCCCAGTCTTGACTTCCCTGTCAGTATAGACATCAACATTCTGAACGCTGCTAGCAGTAGGACCAACCTCTGCTTTAAGACATTGTAGACATGATTAATTAAGTAATTTCATTGCATGCAACAACACCTACAACAGCAAAACTATCTACTACAATCTAACCTTCCTGTTTTTCAATGTTCTTCTGCTTCAACAAGTCATGTGCCTGAAAGAAAGGGTAATATACAAATTGTTGAAAGTATGTCCATGCAACATAACAGCAAATCAACACAAACAATCAAAAAGGGATATAGATAATACCATGCCTATCCATATTTCATAAGCTTCTCGACATTCTTCCAGTGTAGACTGCACTATTTTTCCTGTAACCATGTACACCAACTTGGCATCACATATTCCAATATATTTTAACTAACTAAAACATCAGAAACTTCAGATAAATAGCACCCAGCCATCCAACCCCCAGAAACAGTAGAGCATTATGTTTACACACGGGCATCTACTAAACTGATATACAAGAAAAGGAAGTACACATTAATAACTATTTATTGACAAGAGGCAAACCTTTCCAAACAGTTTTCTTCGAAAATGCGACATTTATATAAACCCGCAAAATGCAGCCTTCTTTTGATTCATTGTCATATCTTTCTACATCCCAAAGCGCCTAATACACAGGAAAAAAGGTCATGTTCTTTGGCAAATTAATGTTGAATCATAGCATCCAGTGAAAAGCATTATAAGACTTAGAATATCTGCTACTATACTATTGTGCATAGCATTGTTATAATTTCAAAGTAGTAATATCTGACATGCCCACAGTTAAAAATGTTTGTTAGTATGGGTGTTGGACTGATAGCACCATTTGAAGAAGGAACGAAAGAAAATGAATAATAGAGACGAAAATGTAGGAGAGGCAAAGAAAACAAAAAGGATAACCCAATATAAATGAATCTCATGTGCGATCAAATTCCAACTCTTTCTTAAAAATGTAAGAAGGCAAAGAGCCAGGAAGCAAGTGATATAAAATTTCATAAGATTCACAATACAATTTTGTGTATCATTTAACAGAATGCATTATTTTTATACGGTTAAATGTTGATAAACATGTATCAATTCTTAGCAGTTGCACTTAAATAAAAGACAAAAAATGATCAATTTAATTTATAATGTTAGCTTGATGCATAATTCTCTTTCAAACTTGATTCCATGATCTGCTTTTCAAACTATCAAACACAATAGGACATTCTACATTAGCTGGAAACTACGAAAGATACTTAAATTTGCCAAAATCAATCAACAACAGTTTGTACCTCTACACGAAAATAATCTCCATAAGGTACGTCATTGATTTCTTGTGATGACTCAATAACCAAGTGACTGGAGAAAATGAATGTCATTATGTCAATGATAACATATAAATTGGTGACAACATTATATAATACACAAGATATTTAAAGGGTGATCTATGGCTAAGATCTATAAAGAAATGAAGAGAAAATACACAAAGCACAAATACAAAGGTATATACAAAAAGAATAATACAACAAAATCAACTAGGTGGGTACAAATTTAAGCATATATGCTAAAATGCATGCACAACACCTCATTATTATTGCTCGGTGGTTACAAATGTTGGCTTAAGCTGTAACTGTTTTGACTGTAATCAGATTTCGAAAGTTGCTCTGGGAAAACCATTTCCACATTTCAAAAAGTTATCATATAAACAAAATCCTGTTCCTAGAGAGGAGTGTTTAATCTGATTACCATTCCCAGTGGAATCAAATAATATTAAGAAAGATGACATTGAAACAGATAAACTTTTCTATTGATGATATAAATCATAATCTCATATAACTCCTTTAAATCACATGATTCTTTTTTCATAGGAAAAATAATAGAAAAGAAATGCCAAAACAAAATATAGAGAAACCTGTTTTTGTAAACTCGAAATTTCTGAATCTCCTGGCAGCTGCCCAATTTAGCACCTTTAAGTAAAAACAAAAAATTAAAACTAAACAGCATTAGAATCTAAAGAGAGTTAAATCTAAATGCCACTTAAACCATCATCTCTTTTTAAACGAAAAAAGGAAAAGAGAAACAAATTGTTTTGAAAATACAAATACATACCAAAATATATTTTTATTGGATGTTGAAATGAAACATCACGGGCATGCCCAAATTCATCATGTGGTTTCCATGATGAGCACCGAAATTCTGAAAGCACTCAGCAAAAGAAAAGCACTGGCATAAAATGATGTCTCCCATGATATAGTAAGAACCATCAACTAAAAATTATTAATTGCATATTCAAGGAAAGATTATTTCATGCAGACTACCTTTATCTCCACATTTTCTATGAAAAGATTCAGCAAAGTTAAAAGCATCATCCGAAAAAAACAAATAAAAGAACTCCTCTACCTTCATCTGCAGTCCATAAGGAAGAAACATATTAAAAAAAGAACCAATTTTTCGACCAACAACTGTTGATAAAAAATTCTATAATATGGTAAAACTCAGTACACATACAATAAAGAAAATGTAACATTACCGGAAACTTGGTTTCAGCAACCTTGGCAAAACATTCTGGAACTGCATGAAAAAGAAAAAGCCAGATCAGGCTAAAAGAAAATGTGAATTTATTTTTCTCCTTTCTAAAATAATGTATGCAGAATGATGAATGCAAATTTGATTACAGTTGATACAGAGCACCTGGTGGCCCATAACACATCCCATATGATGGACATAAACCGATACTAGTATAATCAAACAGTGTGTGTGTAGTATTTCCAATCCACAAAACAGGATCTACTTGACAATTTTTTCTAGATCTTTAAATGCCATCACAAACCTTAAATCCATAAAATCCTTCCACACTCACAAACCCCAAGCTCATGATCTCTCCAAAATTAGACCCACTGCATAAGTAGAAGGGCTACCATATTGGTATGAGCCCTACTCAAAAAGCTATCACAGCAGGCAAAAAAAGCCAGGAAGAATTTCACATTATCGATCATCACAAGCAGCACCTCTACAGCCGTTAAACTATAATAATTAAGAAAAGAGAAATAAGGCAGGACACATCAAAGACAATCTAAAAATCCAAACAAGAATGCCATATCTACAGTAACTTGAAATGATAATCTGCCTCCGTGAACATCATCCAATGTCCATGTCCACAGGCACAGCCCACCCATTTCCATAAGCCACTAAAATGAAACTCATCAACCATTAACAGGTCTCCAATCTCCAAGGGCATGGGGCAAGACAAGTTAAATTCTGGGTACAATCTAATCAAGGAACTGTAGTGCTAAATGTGGAAACAAAGAACACATCTGATAGTCACAACATGGAAAAAATAGTAAGACCACATAAAAGTAAAAGAAAAAAAGAGCTAAACAGGTTCACTAACTCTTAGGCGCTGCATAGTCCTCTATCTTCCAAGACACGGTCTTTGCTGAAGATGAAGAGTCAACATTTACAATTGGTTCAGCATCTTGTTCCACATTGTCATCTTGTATTTCCAATGGTATTGTTGACAGATCATTTTCAACATTAGATGTTCGCTTGGAATCATCTAAAACATCCTCATCCCTGTATTAGATAAGTAAGATCTATAATTAATTCCATATCAATAATCAAAAACCAATATTTCATTATGATAGGAATCAAAAACCGACATAAATAACATAGATTCATCTTATAAGAGTACCTTCTGATAGAATTCTGCTTATCACTATGATTATTAGAGCCATTGACTTTCTCAATTACAAGAGGTCCATTCTCTGGGCTACTAGTCTCAGATGATAGATCCTGAGATAAGATCAAAACATATTAGAAAAAGAACAAAGCAAAACAGAACATGCATATAAGATATACCCATTGATGTGAATGGTAATTGATCCTTAAGACCTCCTGTGTGATGACAAGAATTTTTTACCAACTAAACTCGCTGGTATACCATTAAAATATTTTGAAACCTAAGCAAAAATTATCCAATACTTAGAGCTAATAATGAGATCCAGTTAGAATCAATATTTATTCTTTTATTACAAAAATATTTCCTATAATTGTGAATCATTACATATTATGATAAATATTAGCTAATAACCAAACAGAAAAGATATAAAGCAGTTTTTCATAGGGTTATTATATTCCAAATTCATAGTCCATGATAATAATTCATCATCTTCTTAGAATTCAATATTTTCAAAACTCAGCTACAATAACTTATTTCTGTTAAATACCTGCTGTTCAGAATTTGCTTGTGAACCATTACCATGCTGTAACCATCCATCATTAATGAGCTTGAAAGCTTCATCCCGTGACAAAAATGATGCAAAGAAGTACTGTTAAATCAATAAGTTAATTCAGAATTTAAAATAATAATGACAATCATAGCAATAATATAGAACAAAAGAAAATTTTGGGCCATAGCACTACCTTTCTCCCCCCGGCAAAAATTTCTATGGCATTAGGAAAGATCCCAGCTGTCTTTGCTCGTCTTACAATTGTAATTTCGTGGAATGGGACAATTTTCTAGAGCACAAACCCATCAGATTTCAGGACACAATTGATATCGGCAACATTCAATAGCAACTAACAATATAGATATATCATTGAATTTTTAAGATTACCTTTGTCTCAAATCCAAATATGTTGGAATAAAAGCAAATATAATGGTCAAACAGGTACATATGCCCCTACAACAGGTAAATAATTTGTAAATATCAGGAAAGAAACACACTTAGGCATCACACTCACCAAAGTTAACTGCAAAAACTGTGGCAGAGAACTCAATATGCCATAAGTTTACAACAGGAAGGCAAGGTGCCATGCCCACCAAAAAATTGCAACAGTCTTAAAAATTTTCTACTGACATATGGAACCCCAAACAAAAAAACAGAGACAAATTAAAGATTACCTGAAGAAGAATGCTCTCTTGGTATGCACAATTGAAATCTTGAACAAGAACCTATATTAGAAAAAATAGGATAAAATAATATTTCATCAGAAGGGAGTGGAATAAATATTTTTTTACTAGATCCGTGATGAAATTTTAAAAAATAAAAACAATTCTATCAAATTTCAGGGGTGACACATATGCATCAATGGTTCTCCAAGAGACTAAATTTTCATGTTTCCTTCAAAAGCCTATCAGTTCGTGTGCAAATAGTTAGAGATAATCTAACAATAACTCACTTCGTCAGGTGGAAGACGAAACAATTGTCGATACTCTTCACTTTTCAATGAAACTGAAGACTGCAATAGACAAAAGCATCAGTGCCACACATGAGTCCACAATTTTCATAAAATATCTGCTTTTTCTGCACAATTAATAAACAATACAACAGCATCAATGGCATGAACACAAAAGCAAACAAAAACAAAATTTCCAAACTCATAATTATTTGAACTGCAGTGTCTGGAACTAAGAGAATTACAACTGAGCTTTACAGTGTGAACATGTGAGGTGCAAGGTAATCGTATTGAGGTAGGCTAGCGAAAGCAAACTCAACACTTGCTAACTCAACATAATTATTTGAAAAAAATTAATACAAAGTTCCAAGTTATGAGTAAATTTCAAGAGTTCATTTAATCTCCTAGGGCAGACCAGATATGTAACCAAATTATTCAATCCCAGAGGGAGGCGGGGGGAGAAAGATCTAGTTCAATTGACAATTAAAGATTAAAGAAGAAGAAAATGAAGAAGGGATCAAGTTGCAAATTAACCTAAATGTAAACCAAAAGAGTTCAAGATTCGTCAATGGATAAATAAGTACTTCTCTATTTGTTTTTCAAACTATTTAATAAGGAATTACCAAAATGAATAACAAATTGAAACAGATAAAGTGGCAACAAAAAGAAAGTATAGTAGCAACCTGAGTTTCAGAGTCTTTATTAGGGTTTGGCGAAAAACTAAACTGATCGTCGCGATCAGGTGAGTCGGTGGTGCTTGGAATATTGGCGGAAGAAGGTGATTCAGCAGCTAAATCAGAGGATAATCGGGAGGGAGACGGGTCCATATCTCCAGATAAGTTGATCCTCTCCTCTGCGGTCTCTGAAATCACTTCCATAGCCCGTACAGAGAAAGATCTAGGGCTTTTCACAACAGAATTGGAGGAGTTGTTAAGCAAGAAAGTGACGCGTAAATAACAAGGGAGGTGGTTGGTTTAGTAACGGACGAAAAATGGAACCGACGTTTTGAGTCGAATTTCAGTCAACTTTTTTGCGAACACGTGGCATTATATGAAGCGGATAATTACAATCACGGACCCGCATACACCCGGACTGATGTCGGCGGCACAAACGGACGACTGTCGGCGGCACAAACGTGGCATTATTAAAAATGTGCTTGGTGGCATTCTATTGGTTTATATTGTCTATTTGAAATATTGATTTTATCATTAATCTAATTAAATAGGTTTGATAATTGATACTATAAATATAATTGAATGGGGAAATTGGGCTTTTGGTTCATGTTGGCGCAGAATGAGTTCAAAGGCCTTTAAACCACGGGCCGTTTGGGCTACCGACAATTAGATTTTGATGTTGAACTGAACCAGGCAAAACATTAACATTGGCATTCGACGCCACTTGCCAAATTTCAAGCAGTAAATCTAGCTCGAAATGATAATAAACATAGCGGTTGAAATTTTTGTCAAACAAAATCTATCACATGTTGGAAAGATGAAGTCCTCTAGTTACATTGAAGTATAGAAGTGCATTTCTCCATTGATCCCATCTCTTGAGTCTGTGAACTGCGATGGTTTCAGGTATGAGTTCATGTGAACACCGTCCATTTGTTCCTGGATAATCATACATGGCCGGCTTATTAGAAAATCTATTCTTTGCCTTATTCCCCAAATTTAACCATTTTCCAACCAACTTGTCCTCAGGACCATACGTATTATTTGCAGGTATATCAGAACTTCCAATCCATTCAACAAGGTCCCAAGATAACAAAAACCCCATTCCTGACATGTAATCCACATATGGGTTCATGCTATTGCATGGAATTACAAAACCATAATATAAATCTCGTCTTGGCAATGGCTTGAGTGACAATGACAAAGGTAAAAGCCTAATGAAAATGTCATCATCAGCCTTCATAACATAGTCATACCGTCGTGAGAGGACATAGGGAAGTGATGAGAAGTACGTATACGTCTTACCACTGTTCATATTCTCGGTGCAGTTGAGGATAATGATATCATTGTAGCGTAAAATTTCTAGAGAAATTAGTAGTCTTTGCTCGTCTTTGGTAAGCTTGCAAAAGACAAATTTCATGTCAATTTCGGCTATGGGAGATGATTGGATACCATAAACGAGACGAAGGAAATGGCGACGATCATAATTATCAGGGCGGGTTAAGATTCCAATCAAGAGACTAAAACTGGTGTGATTAAGAGTTGATTGTTTAGAAGCTACCAATGAGGATTTTACTCCAACGTTGAAGAATATGTAGACAAGAAAGAAGAGGGAAAAGAAAATTGAAGGTAATAATGCAGCTAGAACTTGCCGTCTCCGGTGCATAATTGCATATAAGTTTTCTTCTTTTTATCGGTTTGGCTTAGACTAGAAAGTAATTAAGTTGAAGGTAGTAAATACTGTGCCACATATGGGTGGGGTAATCACTAATCACGCAGCTCGTTCATGTTTTTCGCCAGCAAATCCTGTTATAGATTCTGTTGCAGACATGCTTTATGCATGTGCAAAAAAAGTGTTTCAAGGTGATCATACTCGTGGAGAGATACGTTAAATCTATATGCTTTATGTGCATAAAAAACACAACAGGTGGTTTAGGGATGGGGAATAGTCTGAGTTTTGACACTATCTGTAATTGGATCCGAGTGGACGAGAGACATGGGCGGTAATTCTTGGACCAGCCCATTTTGCCTCATTACAGTTCATTGAACTTCTACATGTTTAAAGGGGGACCAGGCTTCACATAACAAATTGCGATAATCATCTTAGGGGTGTAAACGAGCCGAGTATCACCCTGAACGAGCTTGACTCGGTTAAGTATTAGATGAGTTTAAGTCGAGTCACGAGTCAAGAAAATTTGACTTGTGACTCAACTTGTTTGTAATCAAGCCGGCTCGTGACTCGACTCAAGCTCGTTGGACTCGACTCGAAAAGCTCAATTATGACTCGATTAGCGCAAGCTTGATTATGGCTTGATTACAGCTCGTTTGACCTTTTTTTTTTATATAACCTATAGATCTTGTTTTACACAAATCAAATCAAATTTTTGGTACATTTGCATCAAAATCAACAAAAATCACATTAAAATACATCAACAAATTACACAACATAAACAATGATTAGTAATGTGAAAATAAGGTTTATGGTTTTGGGGAAATCGTTTATGCGATTTGGGTTAATTAGAGTTAAGGGTTAATTTGCAATTTTTTAAACATTTTACATGTCAAATTACAAAGCAGACCTAAAACTCGTATTTTTTACAGAAAAACCCTAAACGAGCCACTATTGACTCGCGAGTCAAATCAAGCTGAGCCGGGATAAACTCGAACTCAACTCGATACCTAATTTAAGTCTTACTCAAGCTGGCTCGGCTCGATTAAACTTAAGCTGAGTTCGAGTATTTAACGAGCCAGACTAACTCGCGAATGGCTCAGCTGACACCACTAATCTTCTGTTGGTATTTCATAGGAGGCAAGACTATATGGAATTAGTGCACACAACACAAGGACATGATTTGGTGAGATGAGTCATGTGATAACGCTTAGGATGGAGCACATAGTACAGACAGTTCATGTGAAAAAAATAGTATTCAAATTCCATCTTTACTGTTTCTTAAATCTTGAAACAAAGTTGGCACTTCAAAAAATTTGGATCCCGATTCCTTTTGAGTTTAATTCTAGGCAGAGACAAATTCATATTACCAAGCCCAAAACATGGATACTTCTAGAGAATTGCGTGCCTAATATTTGATATGAGATGACTATAAAAACAGAAAAAAGGTATATGTATAATCCCCATTAGGTGCAGGATTTACAGGTAATATAGCCAGAATAGCCACTAAGAAAAGCTTATAGTGGACCAAATGTAAGTGAGAAAGGAATCATGAAAGAACCCACCTTTGAATGAGTCTCTTTTACTAATTCCAATACTCAAAGCCCACACTTTCAAACCTCTAATTTGCCCTTTTCAAAAAGCAAGCACAACTGATAGGCCCACAGGAGATTACAAAACACTTCTTTTTTGGAAATGTGGGTATGAGTAGTAAAATATATTGGTCTAATCATTTTAATCACTAACCATACCTTTTATGGGATTTGAGTCTCACATGACAACTTCAACAATTGATCGTGACCATCAACTCATAAAGTTTACCAATCATGATACACATCATCCATCCATTATCTTGCCACATCATAACTGTCTTTCTTTCTTATATATTTTTGTTTCACTGAGTATTTTTGCAGTGGATTATAACGAANCATGAAAGAACCCACCTTTGAATGAGTCTCTTTTACTAATTCCAATACTCAAAGCCCACACTTTCAAACCTCTAATTTGCCCTTTTCAAAAAGCAAGCAACAACTGATAGGCCCACAGGAGATTACAAAACACTTCTTTTTTGGAAATGTGGGTACGAGTAGTAAAATATATTGGTCTAATCATTTTAATCACTAACCATACCTTTTATGGGATTTGAGTCTCACATGACAACTTCAACAATTGATCGTGACCATCAACTCATAAAGTTTACCAATCATGATACACATCATCCATCCATTATCTTGCCACATCATAACTGTCTTTCTTTCTTATATATTTTTGTTTCACTGAGTATTTTTGCAGTGGATTATAACGAAAAAAAACCTTTTTAATGTTAACGACCTTGGATAATTTGATAGTAAAAGAGTCAAGTGGTTTAATATGAGCTTTTGAGCTTGAAAGGGTGATTAGGATTTACTTGGTCGTCAATTTTAAAGTCTCATAGGATTAACTAAGGTGTGTGTAAATTGGTCCGATAAAAAAAAAAAAAAAACTTGTTAATGTTAACACCGAAGGATTGCCTTAACGGTCAAGAAAGTTTATTATCTTATTTGAGTTTTTAGGTTCAAACCTTAGGGATATCTCCCACAATAACATTGTAATTTACTTGGTCTTTTGAGCTTGGAGGATATTTAATAAATTCTAAATATTTATTAAGGTACGTACAAATTGTCTAACAACCCTCAAAAAAAAAAAAAAAAAAAAAAAAAAAAACTTGTTAATGTTAGTGACTATAGTAGGGGAGAACGACATATTCTCACCCAAGGTTTGGCGAAATGACATTTTCCCACCCTTGAAGTTTCAAAATGACACTTTCCCATTATTTCTTAGATTCTGTTATGTTTTCGTTAATATTTTACTGAAAAGATGAAAATGCTCTTAAATATTTGATTTTATAATTTTTTTTATTTTTTAATTACCAAAAAAGTCAAATATTGAAAAGTAAAAAAAAATAAAATAGTTAAGCCTGCCTAAAAAGTTAAAAGTAATGTTATAAAATTGTTTTAAGGTAAATGATCTTCATATTTATTTATAATGTAATTAATATCCATCACTATTATTCAATAATCTACTAAATATTTAATGTTTTTTATGATATAATGTTTTTCATTTTTACTAATTAACATAAAAGATCAAAATTCCTATAATTAAATAAACAAATAAAAAAAAAATATTTACATTTAAACTAATAAATAATTGAATAAAAATTTTGATTTAACTAAATTTTAATTTATAATAAATTAATTAAAAAATTAACTATTTAAAAATATTTTTATTTTTTTAATTAAATATTAATAAAAATACTAAAATAGACGGGACGAATGGTAGAAAAGTATCATTTTGAAACTTTGACCAGTGGAAAATTGTCGTTTCGCCAAACTTGGGTGGGAAAATGTCGTTCTCGGCGATAGTAAATTGTCTTAAACGACTACTGTTTTGAAGAGGAAGGTGACCCCTCACTGACTTGGTTTATTACTGGGTCGCTCTCTCTTTTTATTGGTCCTAAGCCCCAACCCTGTTTTGTCCATTATTGACTGCCATGCAAGCGAGCAAGACACTGATTGACCATGCACGCGCACGCGTGCTTTTCTTGAATGTTCAAATCCCACCCTTACCCATTGCTTGACGCATTTTCTTCCCATGTTATTGTCGACGACACTACGTCCTTTTAATTATCCTTCTCACCACCACCTGCCAATAATGGACTGTTCATAAGTGGACTAGACTTGCATCAGTGGGAATCTTTCTAAACAAAGTGGGAACTAATTACCAACAATTTCTTCAGTTTAAAGCTTTATTAATAAAGTAGCTAATTACCTTATCAATAATGGGTTTTTTTTATATTATTTTTCCGGCTTTCTATGGTCAACATTTTCTCCTTTTAAGTTGTTTGAAATCAATTAACTGGGCGGGCATGGCTACCACTGATTTCTGAATACAACATATCACCTACGGATTACGGTGATAGTAAAAGATAAAGAGCAATCCACAACCACAAAAGCAATGAAAATTGAGTCATATTTTCATGGCCGACGCGGTGGACCCTATGTTTTACCAAGTTTGTGGAAACATCAAAATCGCTACCAGCCATCATCTTCTTATGCTCATAAACGGAGTATCCATCTGACACTGTTAATGCTAGTAATTGGGCAGCGACCTTTCATAATTCATCCTCCGACCACAGACTCCTTCCGCACCCTAAACGCTCTCATTGAAGAGCGTAACAACACATCCTTACCGATTAGCCCACAAAACGATGGAGGCAGGATAAAAGATCTAATTAGAGCAAGCAGCCAACAACTAAAATATGGCCAAGTGTAAGAGAAATGCGATTCATAAACGACACTGGACCCAACGTACACGCGCCAGTAGTGCGGTTGTTACTGGTAATTCAAATATTTCAATACGTCAATCAACAGAATCCAAACCTAATATATAATGAGAAAAATCGGTCATCATTGTTATGACAGAGGGGAAGAGCGTCCCTACTTTTGAAAAGAAGTGTAGTTTAAAGACGAAACAGGAGGGCCAGCGGGCCCCACTGTGGGCCCCCACCTCTTCCACAAATACTCCCTTTCTCTCTCTATCACTCAGAGCTAAAGTGCACTGGACTGCCCATCCCATCCCATACAAAGCAAATTTTTTTTTTTTTTTTTTTTTTTTTTTTTCTCCTTAAATTTTTTAAAAAGCAAAAGCTACCATAGGCATTAACTCGAACTTTAGTTGCAGTTGCAGAAGAGTCTGTCCACAGTCTAGAGAGAGAGAGAGAGAGAGAGAGAAAAAGAAAAGAAAAGAAAAGAAGAAGCTCCGAGGTCCGAGCTATCATCGCTCGGGCTCTAGTCTACAAACATCTAGTTTTACTTTAAATTTATTTTCGGAGTTTCTAGAGAGAGAAGGGGCTTCAGCTCAATAGAAACCCTAATTGATATGCTCGTTTGATTCCTTTACAAATTTGCTGGTCTTCTTCTGGTTTAGTCCGTACAGATTCTTAGTATTGATTTTACTGGTGCGTTTTTATTTTTAATTTATTTTTGCTTTCTTTGTTTGAGTGAAATGAATATTCTGTTTTTGGATTCTTTTTTCTTTTATTTTGCTTTTTTGTAATTTCGAGATCACTCTTTTTGCCATTACTGACTTTGAATTCTTCATATTCTTTTTGTTTGTTCTTTATTTTTGTTTTCTTTTTTGTTGAAGGTTTTGCGTAGAATTCAAGTGTGTATGTTGGGAATGTGCTTCGATAAGAATATACAAAATATAGAGAATTTTTGTATTTTTTTACTTTTTTGAGCTTGTGGTCTTTGTCCCGCTTTTTATTAATTTATTATTTGGGGTTTTAATTTAATATTCCCTATTTGTTTATTTATTACTTGATTGTTAGCGAAGTTAAGGATTTTGCTGATCATTTGCTTGATCTGGTGAGGTTTCTGAGCATTCATGAAATTAGGGTGTTGTACTCTCAGAATGATTTTGTGACTCGCTCAGAAAAGGGTTAGTGAAGATTTTGGATTTATATTTGATGTATTGTATATTTACAAACTAAATAACATCCCAAAACTGATTTTTTTTTGTTTTTGTTTTTGTTTTTCTAATGAATGCTAGATTTTTCAGTGTCTCTTTTGTTCCGTTTCTGGCGAGAAAATGTAGAAGATAAAATCTAATTAAGATGGAATATCTCCACTTGGTTGAGACTGATGCTACTTTATATGTCAGTTAAAGCGGATTTCTCATGATCTAGAAAACCTGGGTGCCTGAGTTTTGATGTTATTATTGATTTTTTTCTTTTATGTGGTCGGGGGTTGTGTGTGTGTGATTTGATTGATGATTTTTGTACTTTTAGTGCATAATTCTTCTAAGAAAGGTAGGATAGTCACTAGTTAGGAATCTTTTATGCTGCATGAATAGGCTAAAGTTAGGGATTTTCATATGCTGATTGAATGGTATGATTTCACTAAAGGAAGAATAAACTATAGCTCTTTGATTGATTATTGATTAAGATCTGACTACCAAATAAAAGTAGCCGCTGAACCCAAATCTTATTCCGGTTTGCAGGGTTATATTTGCTGATAGATTATTCCATGTAAAGTTGTATGGTCATCAGACATGGAAAAGGTTCCAGAATCAAAGTCATTTCCTGGAAAATATCCTGTTTCGGTCCGGGTATCAAATTCATTAATGGCCTCAGGGACAGAAGTTGGTCAGGTTTCAAATGTGCATAGAGGATTGTTGAGAGAAGTGGTTCGATCTAATGCAAGAGATTTCCAAGATTCAGACTCATCTGCACCTCTAAGGATGTGGAAGGGAAAAGATTCTTTGCCTGAACGGGAAGAACTTATGCCTGATATTGTGACATTTAAGGACAATGATGATTTGCTTGAGGATGGTGGTTCTAGTTCTTTCTCTGGGGCCAGTCATCCTGCAGAGCCAATCGATACAGATCTGATGAAAACAGTGTATGTACCAATCGGTCAAAACAAATCCGAGGCTGCATGCCTGATGAAAAGCTTGTCACGGAAGGGACCTTTTCTAGAAGATCTTTCAATCAGGGTTCCTCCCAAGAAACCCAGCCCCGCTATTCTTTCACCAGCAGAGAGTTTGATTGAAGAACCTGGTGACTTAGGTGTATTGTCTTCTCCATTTTCAGTTCCTCGTGCATCACAAAATACTGAGAACTCACTCCTTCCACCGGATTCGGAGGAGAAGGAATGTGTGTGGGATGCTTCTTTGCCTCCAAGTGGCAATGTAAGTCCACATAGTAGCATTGACAGTACTGGTGTTGTCACGGCTATGAGCATTGTCAATAGCTGTGCCAGTACATATCGCAGTGATGCCATTACTAGTGATGGCATGCTTAGTATGGAGAGGAACTGCGAGAGTACAAAAGGCAGCGTTAGAGGGGATTCTCTCGAGAGTGCAAAAACTAGTATTAGTCGAGCAAGTGATAGCAGTGGCCTAAGTGATGACAGTAACTGGAGCAACATTACTGGTAGTGCTAATAAACCTCACAAAGGAAATGATCCAAGGTGGAAGGCTATCCTTGCCATCCGAGCACGGGATGGAATCTTGGGCATGAGTCATTTTAAATTACTCAAAAGGCTCGGTTGTGGTGACATTGGCAGTGTGTATCTCTCGGAGCTGAGTAGTACTCGATGTTATTTTGCAATGAAAGTAATGGACAAGGCATCCCTTGCAAGTAGGAAGAAGTTGACTAGAGCTCAGACAGAAAGGGAGATTTTGCAGCTGTTGGACCATCCATTTCTGCCAACTTTGTACACACATTTTGAGACTGATAGATTCTCATGTTTGGTCATGGAATATTGTCCAGGAGGTGATCTGCACACTTTGAGGCAAAGGCAGCCTGGGAAACATTTCTCTGAGTATGCTGCACGGTATGGTTTATAATCCAATGGCATTCTACTCTATTTATCCTTTTTTTTTTTCGGCATTCCTCTATCTTGTCTTGCCATATTCAGAATTCTTGGGGAAATTAGTTGTAAGAATTAGTAAGGATGACTTAGAGATATTTGAACTACCATGCACTGATGCTTGTCCTTTTTTTTTCTTTTAATTATATTGTAGCTACCCCCTTGCAATTATTAATGTTAAATGAATGTTGCACAATGTTCCATAACTACTATTTATAACTTAATTTGATTTTTCAACTGATTCGGAATCAAAGGAAATAACAGAGAATCAGATTTTGGTTGGAGTAATTTGGTTTTCAGGCTTTCATTACAATTTCCCAACTTTGAACAGAGTAGTATTGTCAGTGGTCCAGTGGTTATTTTCATCAAGAAAAATAATTATTGTGTTCCATATAATTAAAGTAATTATTTAGATATGATCTTCATGATTTGTTAGCAAGTAATAATAGGGAAACAAACCAGAAAGTGTCATCTTACATCCCAAGTCAAAGACAACCATGAGCTAATATAGATGTAAGAAATTTAAACTGAAGACTTGAGCATGATCAGGTACTCACTAGGTAGTAATCAGTTTTTGAGGATCTTTCAATGTGCTGTTAATTTTCTTTGCCATGGTATTAAGTCTTCCTTACGGTTTTAGTTGCTGGTGTGACACTTCTTTGTTCATCTCAGTGTCTAAAGCAATCATGTTTTTTTTTTTCTGAAACTGATAATGTTTATCAGACAAGTTAAAAACTCATCTTCTTTCTTATATGCAGATTTTATGCTGCAGAAGTTTTGCTGGCACTCGAATATCTCCACATGCTTGGCGTTGTCTACAGGGACTTGAAACCTGAAAATGTTCTGGTCCGTGATGATGGCCACATAATGCTCTCAGACTTTGACCTTTCTTTGAGATGCACAGTTTCCCCCACCCTGATAAAGATCTCATCATACGATTCTGATCCTTCGAAGCGGGCAGCTGGTGGTGCATTCTGTGTTCAGCCAGCCTGTATTGAGCCCTCATCTGTATGCATACAACCTGCCTGCTTTATCCCTCGAATATTCCCTCAGATGAGCAAGAAGAAATCCCGAAAACCTCGATCTGACCTTGGATTTCCATCTAGTACATTACCAGAGCTGGTTGCAGAGCCTACTGCAGCCCGGTCCATGTCCTTTGTTGGAACGCATGAGTATCTAGCCCCAGAAATTATTAAGGGGGAGGGCCATGGTAGTGCAGTTGATTGGTGGACATTTGGCATTTTCTTGCATGAACTACTATATGGTAAAACCCCATTCAAAGGCTCCGGAAACCGAGCTACATTGTTCAATGTGGTGGGGCAACAACTCAGATTCCCAGATTCACCATCAACCAGTTATGCCAGTCGTGATCTGATACGAGGCTTACTGGTGAAGGAACCACAACATCGGCTTGGGGTGAAGAGGGGTGCAACTGAGATAAAGCAGCACCCCTTCTTTGAAGGTGTGAATTGGGCTCTGATACGGTGCAGTACACCACCAGAGGTGCCAAGACCGGTGGAAACTGAGCTTCCCGGGAAGTTTGGGCCCGCTGACCCAGTTGGCGTGAGTAGCAGCAGTAAAAGGATGGTGGGGACAGACATGATGAAGTCTGGGGGTAAATATCTGGACTTCGAGTTTTTTTAGTTGGGATGAAAGGATTGTTGTGCTGTGTTGTATGTGTATCATCATTAGTTAATTCTGCAAGAGTTTTCTTGCATTAACCAGAGCTGAATCACTTTAAAGGCAAAAAAAAAAAAAAAAAAGAATTCATCACAACTGGAAATGAATAGCTTCAGTTCACAGAGTATGTTGGGTTGAGCTTAGGGATCACTCTGCGATCAGACTTTTAGAACAGATTTCGATAACCCAGAACCTAGTCTTCAAGTAGACTACTTGTTATCTTTTCAATAGGGCTAATATTTTGAATCTGAATTTATAAAGAAATTTTTGCCCTTCTCTTTAGTTCTCTATTTTGCAGACTTGATCTAAATGTAATGGTCTCAATCGGTATGATTCTGATTTAGTATTAGTTTGGCAAAGCTATTTTAATGGTACTCTTGCAAAGACGTGAAACTCTGTGACTCGGCCAGAATTAGAAGTAAGAACAAGACAACTCGAGCCACCTGCTTTTGGATTCATGTGAATTGCTCGTCAGAGCCCATTTCACCATCACTTGAAATTTAGTTCTTCAAATGTTGGGCTGTGCCAATTTAATCCATTTTGCAGAACGGCCCAAATTGCCGAAACTGTTAGGTGCTGTCCTGGTCTCAATGTTTCAGAAGAACATAAGACTGAGAGGCACCCGTGAATTATCTGAATCTTCTAACATATATTTTCTTTTAAAAGTTTTTGTTTTACTAACAAGTAAAAGAAAGCGGTCCCAAATTCTTTTATCTCATATGGGACAAGGAAACCGAAAGTGAAATATGATTATATTTTCAGTTTAATTTATATATTTGTTCTCTTTTAAATCAGAAATGGCCAAAATAGAAGGTAACACAACCACAACCTCTTACGTTGCTCTCGTACTCTCTTACGCATTAAAGGGAGAAATGAGGACCACAGTCACAGTCATACTACTAGGCTTTTACAAATTTCATTTCATTTCTTCCAATGAATTGGTCCCCAGTCTCCAACAATTCAATGGCTTTTCATCTTTACATTGTTTTGCAATAGATGCATTTATTTCTATGTCTTATCATCTTGTTTTTTGTATCCGAGTCAACTTACGTATACTTTAACTAATCTTCGAAAGTGACTAACATAACAACCTATCGTCACGACCCCCTACTTAAATCATAGATGTCAAATGGAAAATCGAACTTGAGAATATACACCTATCCATACTATCTCTAATTTGTTCTAGCCACTTGAACAACCCACGGATGAGTTCGTCTTTTTGACCTCCTCATAATTTTAATAATACCAATATTACCTCAGCTAGCCGGCCTGTTTAGTTTTAAATTTTCATGAATCCAAGGATAATCTTGGTCAATAAGAATGAGGTTAAGTTTTTAACTTGAGTTGGTCGTTCCAAAATTAAAAAAATGATAACAAATTATAGTTTAAAATATTGCGTGGCAGCGATCCTAAGATGTAGCTGGTGTTTTGTCTGGATAATAAAAAGCCTGAAAAAAAACCTAATGGAATCTTAATTTTATAGTCACTGGATTGCAGTTGGTAAACATTTAAGAAAAGCAGAAATACTAGTTAAACAGGTGAGCTTCTGTCTAATTAAAGCTGGAATCTGAATTCCAACATCGAAAAGGATACTCTAGCTGAACACTAAGTACCAAAAAAATTAGATGGAGAGGCCATCAAAGGGTAGGTGGATAGCTGAACACAATTGTCAAAATTTCTTTGAATGGGAATTATAATGTTTCAATTAATACGTTTTGTCTGATGAGAGTAATTATAATGAATGATGAGAAATTTGTCCCTACACAAACACCGAATCATTCTTAATCCCCCGTGTTATAACAGTTGATTGATAATGAATGGCAGGAAGAAAAATTGACACCTTTTACTTCAAAAATTAATTAAAGCCACTTCACCAAACTCTTTTACATAGAGAATACGCATCTTGGAAGAGAGAAACCAGCTTTATATTTTATTCTTTTGCTGAAATTGCTAATCTCTGATACAACAATTTGAAGCAATTTCCTGTACAAAGACATTCTTCTCCCCTTTGCTTGGCATAATAAAACCATAAAAGAACAAGAAAAAAAATTCCACATATTTACAAATCAAAACCTTCTTCTGCCCGCTTCTCCCCAAAGGCCAAAAAAGAAAACCCCTCAAAAAAAAAAAAATAATAATAATAATTATAGGAGCCTACAGGTAAAAAAATCGGTCTTTTACGAATTTGAAACTTAACTCAAAAATTGAAGCGGAAAAATTAAGTTAAAATAATTATTTGATAGCATAGGAACGGGTGCAAACCGATTCGAGAGCTTCAGTAAACAAGGAAGAGAAACTGGTTAATGCTTGAAAAACCCCTGGTAAGCCTGTCTGAAGATTGTTCAGTGTCATTGCTCTTGTCACCTCTACCGCCTTTGAATGTTTAAGCATCTCATCTTCCACCCGTCTTTGGCATGCAGCAAGCTCTGATTTTTTCTCAGCGAGCGGGTCCCGAGCATCTAAAACCTGCCCATTATCAGATCCGGTATCAGGAAGTCCAATACCAACCATAGAGTATGAGTGGTAGTACTTCCTTTCTATGTTTCGAAGAGATGAAGCCTTCTTCTCAAGATCCTTTGAGGTAGATTCTGTTCGCTTTTTAATCTTCAGCTCTTCCGTTTGTTTTATGGATATCACATGAATCACATTGATAAAGCTCTTGATGGCTTCAGAAGCAACTGTGTCAGGGACACGGTCAAGGGCAAGCTTCCACTCATCACAAAATGCATACACCTCAGAGGGTTCCCTGTTGATACTCATGTTGTCATTGCTGACAGGAAGAAGAGTAAGCTTGAACCAGCCATGGAGGGACTGGATAAAATCACGCTGGAATTTTATTAGGTGACAGAAACTAGAGTGCCATGCAGAGACAGCTGACTCAAGGTCGCGAGTTGCTTGTCGGTGCAATTCAGAAGTTGAGTCACCCTGGTTTGCTCGGTTCACAAGACCACGGACTTGCTGCACAATGTCCTTTTGAATTTCATGGTACTGATGCATTGACCTCCACATATACATGAACCTGCATCCAACATTTCATATATTAAAATATGTGATTTAAAATGGAAATTGATGAGAAGATCAATCAATTCACTATTTTGATAACAAAGACCGGAATCTAAAATATCATGATTAATGCTTGCTTGAGAAGTCACTTGAGCCCAACTTGTGATTGTCAAGTCTTTTGTTTCCTGTGTGTATATATTTATTTTCATGTGCGTGTGCAGCAAAGCTACTTCTAGGTATAGTTTAAGCTTTCAAGGCTTCTGCACCAATAAGTTTGGTTTCTTGAAACCAAATAGTTGTAGCCAATGAGCTAACAATATGGTTATTAATGGCAAGAACAGCAAGTGTAAAAGTTGTAGATTCCAGAATCTAAAGCGTATAGCTTAGCAGTCAAAGACTACTTAGTAATTTAGGGTAGCATAGAGAAGAAAAAAAAAGGAGCATAACTTGGTTTTGAAGAATGATTCAATAATAGATTGCCATATTCAGTAACCATCCATTAATCATTTTTCTTTTATTTAGAGCGTGGGTGGGTGAGGTGCTGACGGTTGAGAGGAGGGGGAAGGAGTAGGGTGGGACATTGCATGTTTATTAGTCTAAGAAAATAGACAATGGTGGCGGGCCATATCAATTAATCTAAAGTACCTAACACTCCACTCATAAATTTCCCTTCGCCTACAAAATTGTCTGGAGATCAAAGGAAAAAAAACCTGTGGCATGGTGCAGTAATGGGGCCACTAGTTAATGTTAAGAGGTCGATAGAAATTGCACAGTCCAGGACAACGAGATTTCGAATAGAGAAACTGAAGCAGATGATTATAAAACAGCATGTGTCTCTTAATGATTCACCAACCAAGCAAAACGCCACCGCAAGAGATCCAAACTGTCAAGTTTTCCATAGGGAATGGTGTGTACCAAATTAAGACTCAGTTCTACAATATAAAACTCAGGTCAATCTAATATGAGCACATATGTGTTTGAACTAATTGAAATAATTATTAAAGTAGAAAAACTAGAAGCAATCAAAGAAAATTAAGAATGTAGTGGGGAAAAGAAAGCTTACCCATGGCAAAGATCAACAAGCTCTGGAACAAGATCACTGTCTCTAAGACCAATGATGGCAGATGAGGTGGTATTGACAGCTTGAGATGTAACAATAATTAGTGATTGCAGCCTATTAATAGAAGCCTTAGTCTTGTCTATCTTGGTTTCATCCTCCCCCTTATACTCTTTACTTTGTAGAGATGACAGCTTCTTTTCATGCTCAATCTTCACACCTTCTCTAGCCTATAATTCAATTAATAATTAACATAAATAAAAAAATGCCATAAAACTAACAAACAAATCCATGAAAAGTTTTCTTCACAGAATTTATTATTATTTTAAGGGTAAAAAAAAAAAAGGTCCTAAGTAGCAATAATTTTTCTGCCATCAAGCCCAAAAAGGTTTGAAGAAGAAGACAACAGTTCAAGTTGATAGAATTATCAAAGGAAATAAGAGGATAATTATATCAAAAAGATGCTAAACGACAACACTTCGAGATTGATACACTCCCACAGAAGGGAGATTATGTGGGGTTAAAGTTCCCACCAACTTGCAGGGGCATTTTGGTCAACTCACAAACTGGTACGGTTGGTAAATTATTTAATTAGTAACCCCCGTCAAACACTGCGGTGGACTTACGCTATATCACCACTCTTGGACATCCTAGTCATCTCCTTTACTTTTGTCTCAAACAAAAAAAAAAAAAAAAAAACTAAAGTTAAAAATAATAAAAATAACTCAAAAAGAATCGAACCTTACTTCTTCGTAAAGCTTTTCCCCCAAGCCAAGAGCCGGTCAAGGGTGGAGCAAGCTCTTTGGACCACCCGGTTCGTTGAGTGAAAGAGTGTCAAGCCGGTACTTGACAGCCAACGCGGTTTGAGGTCCAGCTCGAGCTTAGGCTGCTCAACACACTGCTAGAATGATACACCGTCTCTGAACCAAAAGAACAATAATAATATTTAAAATTTGAAAGTTATAAAATAATTTAATATATTGTTAGTAACTTACTCTTCAATTGCCTAAAACTGCGATCAAGCTGACCTGCCGATTTCTAAGATATCGGAAAGCTTGTCTCCAGCTGCAGCCGCCTTCTCGAAATTCTCTTTAAGAGCTTCGACAATCTCTTTCAAATCCTTATGTCTGACCACCATCTTCATATCCGAGATCCTCCTACCCCGTAACTCGCTGAAGAGGAGCCGCATCCTCCGATTTATCGGCATAAATGGGGTGTTGCTTCACCGAACTTCCGAAATTCGAGCGGCTTCCCATCTCGGATCTTGATTCTTTATCCATGTCTCCCCTTCATCCGATGAACTGGTAGTACTGTAATGATCCCCCCACTCACTGCAATGAACTTCCTCTCTCTCAGCTCCTCATCAACAATACTACTAGTTTTGTTGCCAATATTACTATTTCGGAAAGGGCTCTCCTAGGAGGTTGGAAGAAGTCGTATTCCGATCTCTCGGTTTCGTTTTCGGTTTCAGTTTCGGAATCTCGTCGCTGTCTAGATGGTGATGGTTTTGTGGTTGGGTGTGAATTTTCATGTGCTTTACGGTTGAAAAAATCAGAGCCGGGGGAGAAGGAGGTAGAATTTTCCCAATTCCAAACAGAGGAGTTTGTGAAGGTGTGGTCGAGTAGGTGGAGTTGGCTTGATAACAGTAGGTAGAAATTATAGACATCTGACTCCGGGAGACGAAGCAAGACTCGATTCTGATAAAATGTGAGGGATTTTTGGTGTCGGTTTACGGCGTCGTTTGGTAGAAGCAGTAACAATGTTGGAGCTTTGTGTTTGTTACAGGAGGAGAGGAGGAGGAGAAGGGGAAGGAACATACTGAGAGAGGTGGGTGGAGTTTGGGACTAGGAGATGGTATCACGCGTGGAGGTACGTGATTGGTTGGTGGCGGTGTTGGAGTTGAAGGATTTGGAGGCTGGATAAAAACGGCTGGGGTTTGGTCAGAAACGGAGAGATGCTCTCCAGCTGCGAAAGTACAGAGAGCGGTGCCTGTGAGGCGGAGTGAGCGGCAGTAGTCGGCGTGAGCCGCCGCTAAGTGGTGGCGAGCATAGACGGCTTCCTTCATCAAACGACGGCGATCCTTGCACCGCCTAACAGTGTCCTCGTTGTCCAGTTTTGATGCCGTACAACCCATTGGAGAAAGTAAAGAGGTCCAGCGGTGACGGTGGCGCCTGATTTGAGCTGTGTGTTTTGAGAGAGTGAGAGCGAGAGAGAGACACTGAGGTTATAGTTGGACCAATTTTGGAATGTGCTACTTTTTAATTTTTATATTATATATAATTTTTCATTTTTCCATTTATTTTTATCAGAAACAGAGTTCACTGAGGCACAGCAGGCACTTGGTGGTTGTTTAATGGGTAATTTAATATTTGATTAACGTTTGAATTAAATAATAGGAAGGCTGCTTTTTGTTTTGTTTGTGTTTTGCTGGCATAGAATTTGCAAGGTACCGTGGGTTTTTCAACAAACTTTTGCGGACCCAGTTGTTGATTTTAAGTCTAAGGCCCTAAGCAGGGACACTGTTGCCTTTTGTTTTCTTCTTATTGTAGGACATTACGGAATTATTGCTCCGTTTTTCAAGTTGTTTAATCTACTACACTCTTCAATTTTGTGAGCGGCTAAGCACCGGGCAAATGATTTTGTGAAGTAACCATACCGTCAATTTCTTTTGCTAGAATTGATTTCTTGTCTTTGGTTTAAAAATAAGTTTTAAGCCATAACGGGCACAAAGCAATGGCATCATGGAAAGATCGAAGAGCATAGATATTCCACAATAAGTGGATACTTTTCAACAAGCGTAAAGGCAAGTGAAAGGCAAAGATTGAAAACGGTGAAAGGGTCTCTTTCTCCTTCACTTTCTATTCCATGGTCTCACTGGACCCAGCCACCAAGGCATCTATTCCACATGCCCATCTCTTTTCTCATCTTTTTATTTTCAATTTTCCTTAAAAGCTTTAGCTTTTAACTTTTTTTGCCGCGTAAATTCACAGAAAATTTAACGATGTGAATGAAACCTACTGCTTACGGTTTTCTCATTATGTTCATTTGGTATCTGATTCCTCACCAGCTACATTTGTGTTCATATCAAGATATTCTTTTACCTTTATCTCTACTTATCAAAATACAAATTTTAAATTAACCAAATTGTATCCTCCATCGAACCCCAAATTTTAAAAGAAACTAAATAAAAGCTAACCTATTCTTAAATATAAACTATAAAGTACCCTTTGTCTGTTCAAGCTAATCTTATAATAGTTCTTATNTCACAGAAAATTTAACGATGTGAATGAAACCTACTGCTTACGGTTTTCTCATTATGTTCATTTGGTATCTGATTCCTCACCAGCTACATTTGTGTTCATATCAAGATATTCTTTTACCTTTATCTCTACTTATCAAAGTACAAATTTTAAATTAACCAAATTGTATCCTCCATCGAACCCCAAATTTTAAAAGAAACTAAATAAAAGCTAACCTATTCTTAAATATAAACTATAAAGTACCCTTTGTCTGTTCAAGCTAATCTTATAATAGTTCTTATTAGAAAAGGCGACCTCAATAAGGAAAGAGATTTTAATACAACCATGAACATGAAAGTTTTATATGAATAATATATCCACAATATAGTTTACTATAATGTCAATGATGCCCAGATCTGGACTGTCCAACCATAATTTAGATCCTAATTATTTTTATAAGATATGATTTCTAATTTAAATGAATCCCTGACATTTTAGTACTTCAAGAAAACAAATCTCACGAAGGGGATGCACAAATTCCACAGACAAAGATTACTAGAAATTTAGCTACAGCCTCTCAGTGCCTAGACTTGGAAACTTAAAGCTACACAACAGATAAACAATGGCAAATAGTACTACTGTTTGCCCCAAAGAGAAAGCAACACTGCGACAAAGATGCGTTATGTAACCAACTCGAAATACGGAAAATCCTTCTAAGATTTGACAGATTATATTTAAAAATAAATAAAATTAAAAATTGAAGCAGCAGAGCCCAACTGTAAATAATGAAGAAAATGGCTAAAGCTGCAGTAATAAATTATTTTTGCCCTAGCTATCTATGGTCGTTATAAGCATCCAGGAAGGCGCTTAAAAAGTAGAAAGAAAAGAATAATAGTAGGCGGCAATCCATAGAAAATGATGGAACTGTTTTCTTCTATAAAGGCAAACAAGGTGGGTCCGATAACTTGATCCCAACCCAACCACAAGTACATTTTTCTAAATGAAAACATAAATTAAAATTAAAATCCCAATATGTGTATTAAAACATATATTTAGGTAATAGGTTAGAAGGATCATGAATCATTTTAAATAAAATAAATATATAAACTTAAATAGCATGCTCACAGAGTTTGTGTTAGTCTAGCTTTCGATCCTGCAAATAAAATAGAAGAGCTCTTATAGATGTTCATCATCAGTCAACAATCAAAACAAAGTTTTCATTTCACTGACATACTCGTTTCTTAGTCAAAATATCTGCAAACTAGTGTAGGTGTACTCATCCAACCAAAAAAAAAAAAAAAATTTGACATAATAAACAGCCCCGTTCTTCAGCTAGTATTGAGTCTAAGATATACTATTTTCTAAAGAAACAAACAATAAATTTAGCTATTTTCCCCTGCCTGAAATCCTCTTAACACTGATGCATAACCTGAAGTACCAATTTCTTTCAAACAATACTATAAATTAATCTCTCAGCTAAACTTTGGCCAAAAACATCTAAAGAAAATTCATTCTTAGATGGTACAATAATATGTCAGTGATTTTGCAATCTACCCTCGTAATGGCATTTTGGTAATGGAAAAAAATAGAAACCCAAAGGCAAACAAAGGGATAAGATTAAAGAAAATAGAGAGAATTCATTAAAAAGCAACCAACCATGTACATATATTTCCACATGACAGAGACCCCACAAAGCTAAGGAATGACACACTTTAGGTGCTGTGGGGGTCCCACCACGTTTTCTTTGCCAAACAGCTAGCAGAAAAAAAAAAAGGATCTGTTGTTCTCTGGAGTCAAACAAACAATAAACTGAGACGCATCGACACAAGTCATCAATCCTTTGGGAGACTTTCAGTTAAAGACTAACTACTAGCTGGGGTGACCCTTTTTTACCTGACAAGCCCCTGCCCGATAAACTGGCCTGTGTCAGTCATACGAGCTTCTCTACTATTAAATGTTTAACAAGACTTGGCAGTACAGTTCTGGTGTAGAGTTGCCTCAGGCTTTCATGTCGATGCTGCTGATGGGGAGTTGAGAACAAGGACTTCGTCATTGGGAAAACCAAAATTCCCAAGCAACCCCTGAATCGTGAAAGAATGCAACAAAATGTGAGTGTCAAACCATGATCCTTCTGGTGTCAAGCAAACTTTATGATTATCCAGCAAAATAATGTCTCACTGTGTCATCATCAGAGTAGAATACCCATGATGAGAACCAAATATGCAAAGCTTCAATAAATTCATTTATTAGATCTTCAGTGTACTTTCTCTCAGATGAGAAGTTAACTCTAGTACTAATCTCACTAAATAGAATAGCTAAAATTAAAGCTAAAGAGTTTTTACAAGTGGGTCAGACAAAAGAAATGGTGTCTGCTGCAGGGGAGATTGTTTAGATTCCTTCAAACAGTACTCAAAAATTGTATTTTATGATAAGAAAAAAGTTAAACTACAAAAAATGAATAATATTTATTTCCGGCTCTAGTCTATAATCGTAAGGAGAGAAAAGAAAAAAATTAAGGACAATGGACTTACCATGGCATCATTGATTGCATAAGCAACACAGTAATGCTCCTGAAAATCAGCAGTTTGGAAAATAGTTAATAACAGATATTATTTATAAAAAATAAGGTAAAATGACAATAAGTCTAGTAACTTGAGAGAGCTTGCATGGAAATGCAACCACTACTCCATAGTCCACATGAGCAGTGAGACAGCCTCCCAAGTTCCAAGCAGGACATTTAGGTAACTCATTTGGTGCAGGCCCACAAATGATGAAATCAGATCATGTTATTAACTAAGAGCAACGTTGGTTGAGTTTCAAAACAGGAATGAGAGATTTACTTGCCTGCATCATGTGCCACTCTTCAAATTCATCAAACAATTCTAGCCGTTCAATCCTAAAAACCAGAAGTCACAGATGAGAATCATCCCGAGAATATTTCAGAAAAATTGGTAAGCTTCCCAACAAAAAGCATATAGAAAAAGAGCAAAGAGGGAAAGTACTACCCTTTTTATCCTATAAATAATTCAGTAGAATCATAAAAAGAAGACTTCCTAAAGACACAGCCCATGGATTTTCCTTTCCAATAAAGACAGAATCTTGAAAAGCAGCAGTGGTACACACACATACAACTCCCATCCCCGCCCCCCGTCCCCGCCCCCAAAAAAAAAAAAAATAATAAAAAAGGCCAAGAAATTTTGAAGTTCTCATTTAAAATTATTCAAGCAGTCAAAAAAAACATCTAAGCATAAAATTATATACTGATCCAAAAGATATACATGATCTAACTCTGGCACCCATATTGCTAAACCCAGAACAATGTGTAAATACCATTCCACAATTAGTAACTGACTAGCAAGCACAAAGTATTAAGCGTATGCTTGCACAAGAGTGTCTTCCTTAATCAGATCATCCTTGCGGTTAACTTTCAAAACTGATTTTACCAGCTTGAAACCGCAGTAGTTCAATAGACAGATTACAATGATATGCAGAACCAAGAATGATATTATTTGAGATTCAATTAGGCAACCAAACTTTTTATTTAATCAAATAAATCAGAAAACACAAAATCAGAATTCAAAACAAATATACAAAATTACTAAGAAGATAACAATCATGCATTTGTTTCTGGTCCAAAAAAATTGAAAAAAGATTAAAGCTAAATCACTCTTAAATCCAAATTTGCAATGATCATTTTATACACCCAAAAAATAAGTAGGAACTAAAAATTCAATTGAACATGTTAAAATATATACAGAAAGTAAACAAGAAAATAGCACATATTTTAAGCATATAAACATGTAAGGACAAAGTTTCATAAAATTTATGTACAAAGAAAACAAAAAAAAAAAAAGAATTTAGCTACAATACCAGATAGTATCGCAAAATAATCAATTATTAATGCCTAATGCTCATTAAGCATATCAAACTTATGGAATCATATTGGTGCAAAGATTTTTTAAGTTACATGGAGAGCATACCTGCGTCTCTCTTGAGCGTCAATAAAATTGCTATAAACTCTCAGCATGTCCCAGGCAACAGCTTTCTAATACCTCAAATAGAATTATATCAAAAAAAGTACATACTACATGGACATGAAATAAGAAATCAACAATGAAAAGTTTGATTTTTATTAAGCATCAACATCAAAAACTGTTGCCATTGATAATGTCTTATATTACGCAAATTGGAAGTTCTCTGTTCTAGCAGTTACAGAAGTTGATGAAAGATCCAACCATTCAAGGGGTTCTTTCAAAAACTCAAGTAAGATAATCAATAGAAAACCTAAATATCTGTCTACCTACTTGCATTCCCTGTATAGCATTTATAATTTTCCCATAGATATAATTTTCAACCCACAGTTTTTTTAAGGCAGGTATCAGATGTGTACCAACATCAACAAGCCTTACTTGTATATATTTTCTATTTCTCTTGCCTAGATGACTACCCCTATCATCAATGAGTGGCTGTTCCCTTAAAAATGAGTGAAGTATCATTCATCTACATTGCACACATATTCTTTTTGTGTTAAGAGAAAAAGAAGAACGGCAATTGAAAAGAAATAACATTTAAACACGAGATACCTGCCATCCCTGATCAGTAAATAGTTTCTCTTTTGCAAGTAATGTTGGTGTAGCAAAAATTCCAAGAAGTGCACAACCACGACTCTGAAACAAAAGGAATAAGAGATATTATACCCCTATCAGAACTTTCTGGAACAAGTTTTATAAAAAAGTTGAAACATAAATCAGGATAGCAGTGAGCAGACATCTGCTTTGCTATGCAAGCAATAAATTAGACAATTCCAGAGCAATAAGACACACCTTATATTTGGTAGAGGGTAGAGGAATTCTCCAGATACTAGCACATGCTTTTTATTAGTTTTCAAAACCAACTTCATTGGACTTACACATTAGCTTAAATTGTTTAAGAGGCATGTTGACTATAACTAGTTAACTACATTTATCAGCGAATACTCATGGCCCTTTAGAATCGCATCTAAAGTTTCAAACTTAGGAGAATGCCTCTATACTCATATAAAAGTATTAGGACTGTGCCACATGAACAGCTATGCAAACCCAAAATGTATAAATCACCATTGATCATACTTGAAAATTCACTCAAGCCATTATGCCTACTTATCGACTAAAAGAAAACAATACCGCCAAATTTCTGATCATTTGCTGCCCAAAAGCATCATCTGGGAGGATCTGTTGAAAAATTACAGCAAAACATGTTACACTCATAGTGATACTATAAGATAAATTGAACCTAAAAATATCATAAATTATAAGGGAAGAAAAATAAAAAAGGACACTAATAGAGAAGATGAAACTACAAAAATTAACTTCCACTTTGAAAAGGCATATAACCTGCTCATATAAGAAAAACACTGCTGTTGAAAAAGTTTTTGCAGCCCAACCAACAATAGCACGGCTTGGATCAGGATCCAAGTATATTAAAACGCATTCTGCAATTATAAATGTCGGCAGGCTGATATAACATCAGAATGAAGCAATTTAATCACTCTTTCAAGATTAAGGCAGAAAACTAGGATCCATATAAGAAATGCTAAAAAGAAAAAGAAAAAAAAAGTGACAAAGTAGAATAAAAATAATTTGATAAATGTGCAATTGTCAAGTCTTGGCAAATCAAATGGGTTAAACAATGGTATTAGGATAAATCCAAAGCCTTTTACTTCTCACTCTAAATCAAATAAGATAGAACCCCAATAACTACAGAGATTAAGTTGATTCCCTTGGGGAAATGAAGACATATTCAATAATGGGAAAGATATAGAAAACATCCTAATGCTCACCTAAAAATATATTCCAATTACTACAACAGAATATTAGTAGTAAACAAATAAACTTAAAAGGGAATCAATTGATTAAAATTTAAAATCCTAGGAGGAAAACACCATAATGAAATTTGAATTAATTACAGAAAATCTCTCGGTCCACCTACCTCAGATCCATATTAGCCAAAGTTATGACATCATCTAACTTTTGTATATCACGCAAATCTACAGGGAGTAGCTTGTAATGGTCACTAAGCACTTCTCCTTTCTCTGCAAAGTCACAGATGATCAAAAAGGGTAGGGAGGATTTCAACAAATTTATCAGCAGAAGATAAATCATAACAGCCATGCATCCTTCATTGATATATATTTAAGAAAAATCAAAGCAAATACTTCAAATAACATTTCTGATAACTCAAAATTGTTACAGTCAAAGCATCAGAGAACTGAAAGTGCTTACCCTGTGATATTGATGCCGTTGCACCAACTTTGTCCCTCAACCGACTGCAGGTTTCAATAAGGGCTGCCTTTTTACTAGTTACCTAACAAAATCTTCCTTATTAATATATATAACTCAATAAACACGGTAGATTGCAATAAGACTATTAATATTTGCTCTAATGAATATAGATCAGAAAGTAGACATTGGTCCACGTCATGAGTAGACATGAGTTTCAGTCATACATTATATAACTCTTAACCTCACTCAGCATGCAACACTCTCCCATAGCACACAAAACAAACAAGTTGCAAACCCGATATCCAATATAGTAATAAAAAATTCAACAAACACCTCTTTGAAATCCAGCTCCACATATAAATGGGGCGCTTTTCCTTCATCCTGTCAAATGCAAAATACAATTATTTCAACTAAAGCTGTAGAAGTAAGGTTATATAAATGAGTGTATAAACGAACTAACGCAAAATTTCCCAAAAAAATACAAGACACAGGAATCCAACTATAAACCTCGTGAAAGGCAAAGAAGGCATTCACAGCCAGAACTCAATAAATTCAATTGTAATTCACAGAAAACCTCACCTGTAACTGAAAATATGTTGTATCAAAGCCAGCCCCAAGTGATAAAATCTGTTTCTTCACGTTTCTTTCACAATCAAGAAACTGATAAAGAAGCTTTCTAAATGCAGCCCAACGTGCAAAATAGCCTCAACACATAAGATAGCAAAAACAAAGAAATTAAGTTTCAAAATAATTTAAAAGCTTAGTCGTAAACTCATATAAATTTTCCAGCAACAAAATCATACCACGGTTAATTATTGGAGATCTCTTCACAGGTCTTCTTACAAATAAATGAATATAATCATCTTTCATGTATCCCTTCTTGACGCAAGAGCTTCAAAATATACGGTAAATCATTGCTATTATTCACCAAATATAGCGCGCAAATAAATAATAAGGGGAAACAAAAACAATATAATCATTCACAAAACATAATATGTTTGTATAAATTAAATGGCCGACAAAGAAAATTAGCAAATGCAAACTGGTTTAGAATAAACAATCAAGAACTACAAGGACAACTGAGTGCGAAAGTAATAAGAAGACACACAGTTTACTGGCAGAAGCGTCGTCGTTTGTGGCTTGCACAGCTGCTCTGTTACTCTGCGCATCACCAATGGAATTGGCCATCTTCCAATTGACGTTAGTGAGGGAACTCTCGGATTTAAGGGTTTGTCACAGTAAAATTATAAGGGTTCGCTTAGAGTTTCGTGGTAGTGGTTACGACGAACCACTATAAAGGTTTCGAGAATATAAACTATCGTAAACAGTGTTAAAGGTGCGGTTTTTAAAACAGTTTGTTGTTTACTTTCCAGTGGTTTGACAGTATTTTAAAATAATAAATTTATTCATAAAAATATCTTAATTTCACCTATTATATGGTAAAGGTTTTTATTTATTTTTAACTTATTTAATATTTTATATCTTTAAATATGATAAAGTGTTTTCTCTTTTTTTGTCATTTTTTGTAACATCTGAAATTATTAAAAAATTATAATTTGACTTTTCGAAGAAAATATCTAGAAATAAAATTTTAATAATTACTTAAAATTATTTTATATTTAAAATGATTAGAGATATACATAATATGGTTAAAAACAATTTTTGGGATAGTTTTATAATGAATAGGATATTTATAGAATAAAATTTTAAAACTAATCAAAACACCGTGACTTTGGGTATTTGTAGAAGACTTTTAAACCAATCAAAATTAATATATAAAAAGTCTGATAAATAATTATTTTAAAACACTTTAAATTTAAAATTCTTAGAACTCAATGACAAAAAACTCTTAACAGACCTAAATGGGGCTAGAAAAACGAAAATCCTCTAGAGCCGTTACAAAAATTGCACGTACGCGTAGCGCTCCTAGTCAGTGAATTGAACTAACGTTTTGAATTTTATTTCAAGTCAATCTATTTTTCATTGAAAGGCATCTAAATTACAGCCTCCACTCGCTTTAATATTTATTCAAGACTTTTCAATGAAAATATTATGACCTTTTCTTACTTCAAAATAAAATAATATTTATCAAATAATTTGTATATATGACATTAATCTACATCAATCGGTCTTCTTCTTGCACCATTTCTCTCAAAATCATTTTACTTTTTAGTAAATTTAACCGCTGGACTTAGCAAACCTAAGGGTGTGTTTTGTTGGGGCCCAATCCCCCGTTTGTAACACGGTGAAATTGAATAAACATTATAGCACACCAAAATATAGGGGTTTTATTGTAATTTCTTCTACAAAGTTACCGTTCACTTTAACGCGGTGAACTCAAATGGCGGATTCCTAGCACGGTTTTACTTTACCGTTAACTGACTCACGCTCTATATAAGCACCTGCTCGTAGCGCAGACCCATTTATTTTGCTGATGTGTGCAAGCCCAACTGGCTAAGCCTAACACTAATTCCAAGCCGCAAGCTCAGTATTAGCCATGGCAACTCTTGCTATTCCTCTGGTCATTTCCTTTCTCAAACCACACTCTACTCACTTTTCTCTCCTCCGCCCCGGCAAACCCAACCCTAATCGGCTATACAACGCGCCACTTAGTAACCGTCTCTTTTACAGAACCTCCGCCGTTAGCACCTCAGCAGTTCCGTCGACTGGGTCTAACAGTGAGACACAAAAAGCGTCTGTTCTTACTTTTCAACAAGCCATTCAAAGGCTCCAGGTTATTTCACTCAATTTTTATGTTTGTTTCTTGATTCTTGTTTGTTGATTGTGTTTCTGTTTCTTGATTGTTGTACTTTTTTTTTTAATTCATAGGAATATTGGGCTTCGGTTGGATGTGCTGTAATGCAATGTAGCAATACAGAGGTAATTTATGGTGATTTTTGTATTTATTACTTTAATTTTCTCTTCCGTTTTCTTGTATAAATTATTATAACAATAGTTTTCTTTTCTGTTTTGGTATTGATATTTTGAAAATTTTGTTACAATGAATTAGGTTTTTTTTTTTTTTTTTTTAGTCATTTAAATTTTTATCAAATTAATTAGTGTGTATTTTGGTCATGTTGAGCAGGTTGGGGCTGGGACAATGAATCCACTGACATATCTAAGGGTTCTTGGTCCGGAACCATGGAATGTCGCGTAAGTATGCTTTGGAATGTAAGTTTGTTAATTCCGCTCTTATGCACTTGTGGCAGCATTCTTTCAATGTGAAATATGAGCCTAATAAGGACTTTTTTGGACGCAAGGTATGTGGAGCCTAGTGTTCGTCCCGACGATAGTCGGTACGGAGAAAACCCAAACAGGCTCCAACGTCACACTCAATTTCAGGTGTGGTTTGATTTAATGTACTTAAATTGTGGACTCTACTTTTTTCTCATTTATGTGTGAATTTATATTTTCAACTTTCTTTTCTTTTGTTATATTCTGCTGTTTTTTTAATTTTAATTTCAGGTTATATTAAAGCCTGATCCTGGAAACTCACAAGACCTCTTTATTCGCAGTCTATCAGCTTTAGGTGCTAAGCTGGCTTTCTTTTTCATTTTTAAGTTAAATTTATTTCATGATATATGGTATTCATCTTAAGATGCTTCAAAGAATTTACTGGTAATCCTTTTGCATCTTTATGTTATGTGTTTCTGATCTTTGAGTCATAAGCATATTATTTGGCTTGAGTACTAATGATAAGTATACACATGATTGTTATTAGTTGGCATATTGACATTATATGTATCCTGTCTGAGCATGTATCTACTGTCTTCTCTGAAGCTTATAAATAGTGAGTGTTCAAGTGATTAATGTTAAAAGTTGAATTTGTCTCACATCGCCCCAATAGTGGACTTCAATTTTTTTTTTTATATTGTAATTGTTGTCTAGGTGTTTGATCCTCATTATGCATCATATCTCAGAATCACCACAAATTGTGACTGGTGAAACATTTTATTATTAATTAAGCAAAACATGGCTGATCATCATGCTGAGGCAAAAAGTGCATGTGTTGTTTATTAATTTTTTTGTTTCATCTACAGTATGTACTCATCTTATCTGTACTTCTTTTTGAGCATTTGTTTTATGTTTTACTTCAACACCTGCCTCATCTCATTTGTCGTTCATTTGCTTGATAGGTATTGATGTTGGGAAACATGATATTCGTTTTGTCGAGGACAATTGGGAGAGCCCGGTATTATATTATCTCATGCTGTTGGATTTTAAAATTTTTCCCACATGACGAATTGTGCAATTTTTTAAAGAAGTTTGCTTAGGTGCAAACTTTTTTGTTTTTGGTTGAATATCCTGTATCCTTTCAGTTATGATTTAAGAAAATTATTATTTCAATGTTCTGTGATTTTTAAAAAGCTTATTATTGAGTGGTTACCACTCTCTTTTTTCTTGAACAGGTCCTTGGTGCATGGGGTTTGGGCTGGGAAATCTGGATGGATGGGATGGAGATCACTCAATTCACCTACTTCCAGCAGGTTCTTTTTGTTATGTTTAAAGTTATGGCTCATGTGTTAACATTTTAGTGCTCAAGAAATTTTTAATGTTTTTGGTTAATGAGTTCCATTTTTGTTCTATCTCACTTGCCAGGCTGGCAGTCTTCAATTGTCACCAATATCTGTAGAGATTACTTATGGTCTTGAGCGTATCCTCATGCTGCTTCAGGTTGCATGATATTATGATTTTTTTTTCCTTTCTTGCTATAGTCAATTTTGTAAATTTTGCTTACTTTTCTGGAACAAATTGCAGGGAGTTGATCATTTTAAGAAAATTCAGTATGCTAATGGAATCACATATGGGGAGCTGTTCTTGGAAAATGAGTAAATAAACAATTATTTGATTGGATTATTAGTGTCAATTTCTTTTTGGATTTAATATTTGATTTAATTATTACTGTGTTGTATGCAATTATAGTTTTCAAGAATTATTTACGCAAATATCAATGAAATTATTAGGCTGAGATTCTTTTTTTCTTTTATTCTTTTCTCTCCATTATTTAATTGAATTTTTAGTTCCTACATATTTTGAAATTTATTACTGCTTCTCTCCCTTCATTGTTAATCTGTATCAGGAGAAGATTTAGCATGTGGTGATTTTTGGTCTTGTGTCCATTCTTGTAGAGATATACTTCTTCTATATCCTGTCTTTTCACTTGGGTGACGTGAGGCTATAGCTTGTAAAGTTTCTTTTTGATTATTTACTGTTTTAATATCTGTTTCAGGAAGGAAATGAGTGCGTATTATTTAGAGCATGCCAGTGTTCTTCATCTTCAGAAACACTTTGATTTTTTTGAGGAAGAAGCCCGTTCATTAATTGCTTCAGGCTTTCCAATCCCTGCGTATGTTTTACAACCTTTGATGGTTGTCCGTTTTACACCCTACACTTTTTTTATTTTACCTTATTTTGGCTCTAAGTTAACATTTGCTCAAAAAATGCTAGGTATGATCAGCTTTTGAAGACATCTCATGCTTTTAATATCCTAGACTCTAGAGGCTTTGTTGGAGTAACTGAACGTGCTCGTTATTTTGGTCGAATGCGTAGGTGAGTTTACTTTTGTGACTTATCCCTGGAAAGAAATTGCATGTGTGAAACATAACACTTATGTAAAAGTCAGAAATACGAAATCAAGTTGCAGTTCTTGCTTGGATTTGAATAAATTGCTTTTCCTATGAAATACATTTTCTCTTAGTCACAATAATTAATATTCTCTCTTCATGTTTTTGTTTATTTATCAGTTTAGCTCGTCAATGTGCACAACTTTGGTTAAAGACGAGGGAATCCCTTGGTCATCCACTGGGTATTGTTTCTGAGCCTGTTAATCTTATATGCCCTAAACAATATTTGGAGGCAGCAGTCGAAAAGGTTGGTTTCCTTGTCTGGTTGACATATTTTCTTTCGATAGTTGTTTTCTTGTATAGTTCATTAAAGCTTGCTTGTGGTTTTTGAACATCTTTTTGGACATACAGAGCTATTGTATTTTATGTTTTGGTTAAATTTTGCCATAATTTCCCATTCTTAGCATCTTGGAAGTTGAAGATTTTCTTATTCACAGGTCCATGATAATCCGAGGTCATTTGTACTTGAAATTGGGACTGAAGAGATGCCACCTCAAGATGTTGTTAATGCAAGCGAGCAAGTATTGTTATTTCTTTAATGAAGCATTTTGTATTTCTAATATATACACACTATGCATTACTTTATGGTATTCCCCTTTGATGGTAGTCATCAAGTTAGATTTGCCAATTTGCTTCATAAATTTGTTGCTTTGTAGTTTTAGTTGCCATCATGATGTTCTATTGCTTATCGTCTTGATGATGCCTTTGGCCTTTTTTTATGGGATTAGATACTCTTTAATTATTTCTTATTTAATGTCATCTCCAGCTTAAAGATTTCGTATTGCAATTACTAGATAAACAAAGATTGAGCCATGGAGAAGTACAGGCTTTTGGTACACCTCGAAGACTAGTGGTACAACTATTATCATTACCTCTTTTTGAACTTGTTGACAATTTCTTGTTTATATTGTTCTTCAACCTTATGACAATTCCCTTATTTTTTAATTGTAAAAAGCGATACTTTAGCCTTATATATTATCTCACTTTCAGGTTTATGTTAAGAGTCTTTGCAAGAAGCAAGCTGAGAATGAGATTGAGGTTCGAGGGCCTCCTGTTTCAAAAGCCTTTGATGACCATGGAAATCCTACAAAGGTTTACCTGCCTTGCATTTTATTTTATTTTTGCTTGAAGGTTTTTTAGCATAAATAATTTTGATCTTATTGTTAAATGATATAGTTGGATTATACAATAGCAGTACCTGAAGATGGCAGCGACTGCTTTTTGGAACTTTTATGCTAGATGTATTTTTTCCTTTAGATATTTCTTTTTTCCTCCCCGACCTTTTTTTTTTCTCTTTACTATTTCTATGTTCACATCTGTGTTTTGGCTTCCAAGTTCATATAATTTTTGCCTCACTACCTTGTCTAGAATTGGCTGCTTTTGCATACTTGTATAGTGGTAGAGGTATTACTTACCATTGTTGTAATCTGACAGAGTATTAATAACTGTATAACAATAAAGTCACTATTTGCTGCCAGGCTGCTGAGGGGTTTTGTCGCAGATATGCTGTTCCATTGGATTCGCTGTTCACAAAAAATGATGGTGAGTCAGTCTAGTTGCATGCATAATGCTGTATTCAAAGCTCAGTTTCTTCTGCAGACTTGACTGTCCTGTTTATATAATTATGATGTGACAATTTAGTTCTTTAATTTGTCATAATAAAGCCTATACGCATGGTCCTATTCATTTTAATGGTGCCAACTGTTGGGAAATTCAAAATATTTCCTATTCTTAAGAGTATGTGTCCATATTGTAGGGAAAACAGAGTATGTTTATGCTCATGTGAAGGAGTCTGCCCAGCTTGCTTTGGAGGTTCTATAATAACTTTTCTATTGATTCTTGTATTTTTTTTATTTCATTTTTTAATAAAGGTATTTTTCTGTTAGGATCAAAAGCCCCCTTGGAACAATTTTTACATTACAAGTGGGGGACGTTGATCTTGACCATGTACATGGTATGTAAAATTTCTCTGGTTCTAATTTTTTTTTTTTTTTTACTGTGGCATGTTAGGTTTTATCTGAAGATGTGCCTAGTATCATTGGTAAAATATCATTCCCGAAGTCAATGCGTTGGAACTCTGAGGTATATTATGGAATTTCTGTGGTTGCATTTGTATAAATTGAAATACCTGGAATTATGTTTATTAGATTGGTTAAGTGTTTCCTTGCAATTATGTAGGTCATGTTCAGCAGACCTATTCGTTGGATTATGGCTCTCCATGGAGATGCTGTTGTTCCGTTTACATTTGCAGGAATCTTGAGGTAATTATTATTGACTGTTCTCATCTCCCTACCGAAGTGACTTGGCTTGGTTTGTTAGGGACCAATTTTGCCACTATAGAGCATAGTTTTTTCTTGAAGGTTTTCAGGAATATGCATGCATAGAAATGTTTCCCTAATGGTGAGTTTTATTTGGATGACTGGATATGAGATGATGCCTTGAATTTGATATCAACACATCTTTAATAATTTTGATACTTCATCTTTGTTTGACCTTAATGAATTTGAGCTGGGCATCTGTATTGGAAAAAGTCACTATTTGTCGCTATCACTTTTTGAGGTTTTTCCTTTTTTGAAAAATCCATATACCTCTGTTTTGACAGTAGCAGAAAGAGATTTTGGTTCCTTCTTGTTGGTTTTCCCACTTCCTTCAAATAATTGTAACTTGAAAAACTTGTCCTTGGCTTAAAATATTTACTTTAATGCATCGTTGTGATTATTTTTAATAAACTTTTAACTACTGTAACTGTTTACTATGCTAATGATATGTTTTTTTCCATTGGTAATTTAACATGATACACCTTCAATAAGTTAGCCATTGAGAGTATTTTGTCTCCAAATGTTAGCAAATCCCCTTCTGTCTACCCCTGCGCACAACATTTTACTTTCTACTTGCTAATTTCCATTTTGTAATGCAGTGGAAACCTATCTTATGGTCTTCGTAATACTCCTGCTGCCACTGTTATGGTATGTATGGGAATTATCTAACTTTTGGGTTATTACAATGGTTCGACTGCAAAGAGCAATTTAAATCCTTAGAAAGATAATTATATAGTGGGCCAAGTTTAGTGGATGTGTATTCAGATAATTAATATGAGGTTAATAGATTATTCCCCTATGATTGCCAGATAACAAATCATAAAATCTAGTTCTCTCTTTTGGATAAAAGTTAAAGATGAAAAAAAAAAAAATTGATTTTATAGGCATTGTGGTCTGGGTTTTAAGAAAGGTCTTCTTGCCAATCACTAACATCAGACCATTATGGAGAAACCAAAAAAGAGAAGACACTGTTCTTAAATTTTGCTTTAATATGTGCCACAATTTCTGATTCTTTATATATTTATGAAGTAGTGAATTCCTTCATTTTTGGAGGGGATTTTTAGATACTGTAATTTGTAAACATTTCACAGGTAGAAAGTGCAGAATCTTATGCGGATGTGATGAGGAATGCTGGAATTAGTATTGAAATTGAGGTATCAAGAAGTGATTTTACGGTCTTGTTTTCTTTCTGGAGCCTTGTATTTCAATTCAATGTTTGTGCTTCTTGACTGGATAAGTTACTTCTCTTTGCAGGATCGGAAGAAAACAATTTTGGAGCTTTCCAATGCTTTAGCAAAAAGTGTCAATGGCCGCATCACTGTTCAGCAAAGCTTACTTAATGAGGTGACATTGATGTTCTCATTGGCGATTTCTGTTATGGAATACTTGTTCCTGAACTCTGTGCATGAAACATATTAGGTTGTAAATCTTGTTGAGGCGCCTGTTCCAATTCTAGGGAAGTTCAAAGAGTCCTTCTTAGAGCTTCCAGAAGATCTTCTAACCATGGTAAGCTGTCAACTTATGAGGTCTTAATTACAATTTTGCGTAAATATAAAAGTTTTCTTGTTTGTCTTTTAGTAAATGTTGGTGCTTTGTATTTCTGAATGGCACTTATACTGTGACTTTTTCTAGATAAGCTATTGTTTGGGGAACTAGAGTTTGATCTGGGAAAGTTACTATAGATTATCAATGTTGGCATAATAAGTTCAGGTGCTTGTTAGCAAATCAATGACAATCTGTATTTTCAATTGTTCACCCCTGCCGTTGTCAAGGTCTTTTGGGAAATTGCTTCAGCTGATTTTTCATTAATGTTATTATCTAGCTCATAACTATTATTGATGTTGGCTTCTATCCTAAGCCAAATTTTAGCCAGAATTCAATTGGTAATGGGGATGTTATAGTGTCACAAATTTGAATTACTTATTTTTTCATGTTGTTAAGTCTATCCACCAACTATGCAGGTTATGCAGAAGCACCAGAAGTACTTCGCCTTGACTGATGATAAGGGGAAGCTCTTGCCATACTTCATTGCTGTGAGTTTAGTGATGAAATTAACTTTTTGTATCTAGATTTTTTTTTTCTTAAAATAAGTAGTAATGTCAGAAAACTGGGAACCCAAAATCTAAATCCATTTAGATTTGAAATAAAAGTTGCAAAAACAAAGACACCCTTATTCCTGTCTTTAAGGGGCCAATTTAATTTTAATTTAGTACATCATATGATGCTGATTTCCTTCTAGGTTGCAAATGGAGCAATCGATGAGATGGTAGTAAGGAAAGGAAATGAAGCTGTGCTGAGGTTTGATATATCTTTTCTTTTCTACTTAACTGCTGCTTAGGCTTTTTTAGACATTGACAAGGAGTCAACCATACCCTTTTTTTTTGGGCAGAGCTCGCTATGAAGATGCTAAGTTTTTCTACGAGATGGATACATGTAAAAAATTTGCAGAATTTCGAGGTCAACTAAAAGGGATTCTTTTTCATGTAAGTTTTTTCATTTGTTGTGTATCCAGGGTGAAAGAGAGTGAAGAAAACATTCATATATCTTTTGTTTAATTCTTAAGTTTAAAAGCCAATGTTATTACTGAAGGGTGGTTATTGTTCGGACATCTATTAGCTTTTATGTTTGATAATGTGAGATGACAGGAGAAGCTTGGTACGATGCTGGACAAGATGATGCGTGTCCAAAACATGGTTAACGATCTAAGTATTGAACTGGGAATGAATGGAGATATGCTTCAGACTGTTCAAGATGCTGCATCACTTGCAATGTCAGATCTTGCAACTGCTGTTGTTACGGAGTTCACTTCTTTGTCAGGCATAATGGCACGTCATTATGCACTTAGAGATGGGTATCCAGAGCAGGTTGTCTTACTATTGATTTTGTTTTCTTTATTATAATGTTAATATAATAATTCTTTTTTCTTTATGAACAACAAAACAACCCCTTTTTTTGTTCAATTTGTGTGATATAATTCGTTTCCTGTGCATGGTGCTTAATATCATTATGTACACTATTTTTTCTTTTTTTAATTTTTTTATGGGATTAAACCATTTTCTGTTTTACAATGGGCAGGTCGCAGAGGCTTTATTCGAAATCACCCTTCCTAGATTCTCTGGAGATGTGCTTCCAAAAACTGATGTGGGGATAGTTTTGGCAACTGCTGATAGGTGACAGTTTTAGTATATTTTCTGTTCATTGTAAATCTATTTCATGTTACAGTGTTGATGTAATGAATGAATGCCATGTAGATTAATTTCAGTTTTTGTCATATGATATAAATTTATAGAGCTAGAATATTCTTCCTTTTAGGATGACTAGCTTGATCTGTTATATTGCAGGCTGGATAGCCTTGTTGGCTTATTTGCTGCTGGTTGTCAGCCTAGTTCTGCTAACGACCCATTTGGCCTGCGAAGAATCTCGTATGGTCTAGTAAGTAAATGATTAACTTGATGCTTTGATGCTCAACTAATTATTTTAACATTAACTTAATGCTCTACTGTTTGTTATAGGTTCAAATTATGGTTGAAAAGGATAAAAATCTGGATCTGGAATGTGCTTTAAGACTTGCTGCTGCGGTCCAATCAATTAAAGTAGATGCAAGCACTATACGTGATGTAAGAAAGCCTGACACCTCTGTTCTAAGCCCAACAATTGTTAAATGTAGACATCATGGTTGAAAAGTATATAAACAAATTAATTTTACGGAGTTTTTAAATATAGCCATTTCACAATCTGTCTCCATTTTTGAGTTTTGTTCATCTAAAATCACCCATGTGGGTGGCAACAATAATCTTCTGATACTTTGGTTGCTGATTTAGTGATTTACCTCCTGTTAACTAAAATTTTGGAGTTTTTATATATAGACATGCCCTCCCTCTATGTGTTTGTTGTTTGTTTATTGGATAGGATATCAAATTTTGATGGTTATTTAATTTTTTCAGGTACATCAGTTTGTTACTCGAAGATTAGAGCAATTTCTGGTATGCATAGTTGTCTTATCATTTAAGTTCTTTCCTCAACTGCATTTATCATCTACATAGTTTATTTAACTCATAATAAGATGGAAAAATTGTTCTTTGAATGATAAAGAAGGAATGGTGTTGGTTGACTTAATTTCATTTCACCATTTACAAAATTTTGGACAATGTGTGCATCGGGATGTTTGTAGCTTGTTAAATAGTTAGGTGACTTTGAACATTGAAGTTGAATTCCATGATGCTCTAGTTTGAGTTATTATGAAAAGAAGTGCCTGCCTGATAGAAACAATAAAAGCAAATCAAATAATTAACTAAACTGAAATCGAAGCTTCAGGAAGTAATAATCTAACTTCTTTGTTGAAAACCTGTGGCAACAGAAAGTGTTAGAAAAAATTGTTGGACCAACCCCAGCTGAATTGTGGTTTCTGATTTCTCCTTTGACTGATGCTTGTCTGTATGTTAAATAGGTTTTGTTTGTTTAATTTGTTGTGTTAGTTAATTTCCATATGAGATGACTCGTTTAACCTGATGATTGTCATTTATTTTTAATAATTTTATCATGACCAAGTTCCATTATTCAAAGATACTCATGATACAAATTTGTGCTGCTTGTGGCTGAATTTTGGTTGTAGGTTGATAAGGGAATTAGTACAGAGGTTGTTCGTTCTGTCCTTGCAGAGCGTGCAAACTTACCTTGTTTGGCTGCAAAGACAGTATATAAAGTAAGTGGATACATTTCTCTTGTTTAGGTACATTTTTTTATTGATGTCCGTCGCAATACAATTATTAATTTGTTAACCTTCTTGTGGGTATCCTATCATTGGCAAAAAAGTTAGGAGGCAAAGAATCAATGACTATATTCTTGTAGAATTTCTTACGCTTTACTTAGACCATTTGATCAAAACACTTTTGGATGATTGTGGCTAGATCTACAATGCTCCTTTGAAGTTACATATTGGATGCAATCTCAATCATCTTTGGTGTTGTTGATGCTAACCCATTTAGGAGAACTTTTTTTTGAGATCCTTCAAAAATTTAAAGAGAGGTCAACACTTTTCAATCATTTTGTGCTCATAATTCATATATTATTGTTTCTAGATGGAAGCCTTATCAAGAGGCGAGCTTTTCTTAAAGGTGGTTGAAGCATATTCTCGTCCAACAAGAATTGTGCGTGGAAAGGATGTTGACACTGCTTTGGAGGTATTTTTTCTTGCATAGAAATTTAAGAGTTGGTATGCATGGGTGCTCAAATTATACGGTTCCAGTGTTAGGGATTATGTACTAAACAGTAATGGTCTTTTTTCCTTGGAACTTCCATTTTCTATATTTTTTAATTTAATCTAGTTTTAGCATATGGTTTATATTATTCTTTTTAGGTGGATGAATCTGCATTTGAGATGGCTGAAGAGAGAAGTTTATGGAGTGCTTTCTTGTCAGTCAAAAACAAAGTTGATTCAAGTAATTGCTAATAGTTTTGCAGGATTTGATGTTTTGTGAAAATTATTTCTGAATTATTTTTTAATAAAAAGAATTCATTTCTCTTCTCTGGCAGATATTGAGGTAGATGATTTTGTTGAAGTATCTTCACAGCTAGTACAGCCGCTTGAAGATTTTTTTAATAATGTCTTCGTAATGGTGGTATGTTATCTTCACAGTTCATTTCTGCAACTTTTTACTTGTATATGATGGTAGTGCTAAACAATATTATTTATCGTATTACTATATAATATTCTTTACCCATCTGCAGGAAGAAGAAAGAATCAGAAAGAACAGACTTGCGCTGCTAAGAAAAATTGCAGACCTTCCCAGAGGCATAGCAGATCTATCGCTTTTGCCTGGGTTTTAATAATAATAATAATCTTTTTTAAGAGAAAAGAAAAGAAAATATGCGGGATTAGTATAATATAATGGAATTATTTATTTATTTATTTATGTGTGTGTGAGGTTCAGAACTAACGTCTAATCGGAGATGGAACAGGTAGGAAGAACATGTAGTTATATTTTGGTAAAGATTTTATCTAACACAAGCGCCATTGATCTCAGCCTCATGCCCTTTTATGGAAAAAATAGTTTTCTTGATGATGTGATGTAATATGAAGCCCAGCCAACTACCCAATCAGTTGTCAGATCACATTCACATAGAGAGGTTTTGGCAACTGCTGATAGGTGACAGTTTTAGTATATTTTCTGTTCATTGTAAATTATTTCATGTTACAGTGTGATGTAATGAAATATGCCATGTAGATTAATTCAGTTGGCATTTGTCATATGATATAAATTTATAGAACTAGAATATTCTTCCTTTTAGATGACTAGCTTATCTGTTATATTGCAGGTGGATAGCCTTGTTGGCTTATTTGCTGCTGGTTGTCAGCTAGTTCTGCTAACGACCCATTTGGCCTGCGAAGAATTCGTATGGCTAGTAAGTAAATGATTAACTTGATGCTTTGATGCTCAACTAATTATTTTAACATTAACTTAATGCTCTACTGTTTGTTATAGGTTCAATTATGGTTGAAAAGGATAAAAATCTGGATCTGGAATGTGCTTTAAGACTTGCTGCGCGGTCCAATCAATTAAAGTAGATGCAAGCACTATACGTGATGTAAGAAAGCATGAACCTCGTATGGGAATTATCTAACTTTTGGGTTATTACAATGGTTCGACTGCAAAGAGCAATTTAAATGCTTAGAAAGATAATTATATAGTGGGCCAAGTTTAGTGGATGTGTATTCAAATAATTAATATGAGGTTAAACATAGATTATTCCCCTATGATTGCCAGATAACAAATCATAAAATCTAGTTCTCTCTTTTGGATAAAAGTTAAAGATGAAAAAAAAAAAAAATTGATTTTATAGGCATTGTGGTCTGGGTTTTAAGAAAGGTCTTCTTGCCAATCACTAACATCAGACCATTATGGAGAAACCAAAAAAGAGAAGACACTGTTCTTAAATTTTGCTTTAATATGTGCCACAATTTCTGATTCTTTATATATTTATGAAGTAGTGAATTCCTTCATTTTTGGAGGGGATTTTTAGATACTGTAATTTGTAAACATTTCACAGGTAGAAAGTGCAGAATCTTATGCGGATGTGATGAGGAATGCTGGAATTAGTATTGAAATTGAGGTATCAAGAAGTGATTTTACGGTCTTGTTTTCTTTCTGGAGCCTTGTATTTCAATTCAATGTTTGTGCTTCTTGACTGGATAAGTTACTTCTCTTTGCAGGATCGGAAGAAAACAATTTTGGAGCTTTCCAATGCTTTAGCAAAAAGTGTCAATGGCCGCATCACTGTTCAGCAAAGCTTACTTAATGAGGTGACATTGATGTTCTCATTGGCGATTTCTGTTATGGAATACTTGTTCCTGAACTCTGTGCATGAAACATATTAGGTTGTAAATCTTGTTGAGGCGCCTGTTCCAATTCTAGGGAAGTTCAAAGAGTCCTTCTTAGAGCTTCCAGAAGATCTTCTAACCATGGTAAGCTGTCAACTTATGAGGTCTTAATTACAATTTTGCGTAAATATAAAAGTTTTCTTGTTTGTCTTTTAGTAAATGTTGGTGCTTTGTATTTCTGAATGGCACTTATACTGTGACTTTTTCTAGATAAGCTATTGTTTGGGGAACTAGAGTTTGATCTGGGAAAGTTACTATAGATTATCAATGTTGGCATAATAAGTTCAGGTGCTTGTTAGCAAATCAATGACAATCTGTATTTTCAATTGTTCACCCCTGCCGTTGTCAAGGTCTTTTGGGAAATTGCTTCAGCTGATTTTTCATTAATGTTATTATCTAGCTCATAACTATTATTGATGTTGGCTTCTATCCTAAGCCAAATTTTAGCCAGAATTCAATTGGTAATGGGGATGTTATAGTGTCACAAATTTGAATTACTTATTTTTTCATGTTGTTAAGTCTATCCACCAACTATGCAGGTTATGCAGAAGCACCAGAAGTACTTCGCCTTGACTGATGATAAGGGGAAGCTCTTGCCATACTTCATTGCTGTGAGTTTAGTGATGAAATTAACTTTTTGTATCTAGATTTTTTTTTTCTTAAAATAAGTAGTAATGTCAGAAAACTGGGAACCCAAAATCTAAATCCATTTAGATTTGAAATAAAAGTTGCAAAAACAAAGACACCCTTATTCCTGTCTTTAAGGGGCCAATTTAATTTTAATTTAGTACATCATATGATGCTGATTTCCTTCTAGGTTGCAAATGGAGCAATCGATGAGATGGTAGTAAGGAAAGGAAATGAAGCTGTGCTGAGGTTTGATATATCTTTTCTTTTCTACTTAACTGCTGCTTAGGCTTTTTTAGACATTGACAAGGAGTCAACCATACCCTTTTTTTTTGGGCAGAGCTCGCTATGAAGATGCTAAGTTTTTCTACGAGATGGATACATGTAAAAAATTTGCAGAATTTCGAGGTCAACTAAAAGGGATTCTTTTTCATGTAAGTTTTTTCATTTGTTGTGTATCCAGGGTGAAAGAGAGTGAAGAAAACATTCATATATCTTTTGTTTAATTCTTAAGTTTAAAAGCCAATGTTATTACTGAAGGGTGGTTATTGTTCGGACATCTATTAGCTTTTATGTTTGATAATGTGAGATAACAGGAGAAGCTTGGTACGATGCTGGACAAGATGATGCGTGTCCAAAACATGGTCAACGATCTAAGTATTGAACTGGGAATGAATGGAGATATGCTTCAGACTGTTCAAGATGCTGCATCACTTGCAATGTCAGATCTTGCGACTGCTGTTGTTACGGAGTTCACTTCTTTGTCAGGCATAATGGCACGTCATTATGCACTTAGAGATGGGTATCCAGAGCAGGTTGTCTTACTATTGATTTTGTTTTCTTTATTATACTGTTAATATAATAATTCTTTTTTCTTTATGAACAAAAAAACAACCCCTTTTTTTGTTCAATTTGTGTAATATAATTCGTTTCCTGTGCATGGTGCTTAATATCATTATGTACACTATTTTTTCTTTTTTTAATTTTTTTATGGGATTAAACCATTTTCTGTTTTACAATGGGCAGGTCGCAGAGGCTTTATTCGAAATCACCCTTCCTAGATTCTCTGGAGATGTGCTTCCAAAAACTGATGTGGGGATAGTTTTGGCAACTGCTGATAGGTGACAGTTTTAGTATATTTTCTGTTCATTGTAAATCTATTTCATGTTACAGTGTTGATGTAATGAATGAATGCCATGTAGATTAATTTCAGTTTTTGTCATATGATATAAATTTATAGAGCTAGAATATTCTTCCTTTTAGGATGACTAGCTTGATCTGTTATATTGCAGGCTGGATAGCCTTGTTGGCTTATTTGCTGCTGGTTGTCAGCCTAGTTCTGCTAACGACCCATTTGGCCTGCGAAGAATCTCGTATGGTCTAGTAAGTAAATGATTAACTTGATGCTTTGATGCTCAACTAATTATTTTAACATTAACTTAATGCTCTACTGTTTGTTATAGGTTCAAATTATGGTTGAAAAGGATAAAAATCTGGATCTGGAATGTGCTTTAAGACTTGCTGCTGCGGTCCAATCAATTAAAGTAGATGCAAGCACTATACGTGATGTAAGAAAGCCTGACACCTCTGTTCTAAGCCCAACAATTGTTAAATGTAGACATCATGGTTGAAAAGTATATAAACAAATTAATTTTACGGAGTTTTTAAATATAGCCATTTCACAATCTGTCTCCATTTTTGAGTTTTGTTCATCTAAAATCACCCATGTGGGTGGCAACAATAATCTTCTGATACTTTGGTTGCTGATTTAGTGATTTACCTCCTGTTAACTAAAATTTTGGAGTTTTTATATATAGACATGCCCTCCCTCTATGTGTTTGTTGTTTGTTTATTGGATAGGATATCAAATTTTGATGGTTATTTAATTTTTTCAGGTACATCAGTTTGTTACTCGAAGATTAGAGCAATTTCTGGTATGCATAGTTGTCTTATCATTTAAGTTCTTTCCTCAACTGCATTTATCATCTACATAGTTTATTTAACTCATAATAAGATGGAAAAATTGTTCTTTGAATGATAAAGAAGGAATGGTGTTGGTTGACTTAATTTCATTTCACCATTTACAAAATTTTGGACAATGTGTGCATCGGGATGTTTGTAGCTTGTTAAATAGTTAGGTGACTTTGAACATTGAAGTTGAATTCCATGATGCTCTAGTTTGAGTTATTATGAAAAGAAGTGCCTGCCTGATAGAAACAATAAAAGCAAATCAAATAATTAACTAAACTGAAATCGAAGCTTCAGGAAGTAATAATCTAACTTCTTTGTTGAAAACCTGTGGCAACAGAAAGTGTTAGAAAAAATTGTTGGACCAACCCCAGCTGAATTGTGGTTTCTGATTTCTCCTTTGACTGATGCTTGTCTGTATGTTAAATAGGTTTTGTTTGTTTAATTTGTTGTGTTAGTTAATTTCCATATGAGATGACTCGTTTAACCTGATGATTGTCATTTATTTTTAATAATTTTATCATGACCAAGTTCCATTATTCAAAGATACTCATGATACAAATTTGTGCTGCTTGTGGCTGAATTTTGGTTGTAGGTTGATAAGGGAATTAGTACAGAGGTTGTTCGTTCTGTCCTTGCAGAGCGTGCAAACTTACCTTGTTTGGCTGCAAAGACAGTATATAAAGTAAGTGGATACATTTCTCTTGTTTAGGTACATTTTTTTATTGATGTCCGTCGCAATACAATTATTAATTTGTTAACCTTCTTGTGGGTATCCTATCATTGGCAAAAAAGTTAGGAGGCAAAGAATCAATGACTATATTCTTGTAGAATTTCTTACGCTTTACTTAGACCATTTGATCAAAACACTTTTGGATGATTGTGGCTAGATCTACAATGCTCCTTTGAAGTTACATATTGGATGCAATCTCAATCATCTTTGGTGTTGTTGATGCTAACCCATTTAGGAGAACTTTTTTTTGAGATCCTTCAAAAATTTAAAGAGAGGTCAACACTTTTCAATCATTTTGTGCTCATAATTCATATATTATTGTTTCTAGATGGAAGCCTTATCAAGAGGCGAGCTTTTCTTAAAGGTGGTTGAAGCATATTCTCGTCCAACAAGAATTGTGCGTGGAAAGGATGTTGACACTGCTTTGGAGGTATTTTTTCTTGCATAGAAATTTAAGAGTTGGTATGCATGGGTGCTCAAATTATACGGTTCCAGTGTTAGGGATTATGTACTAAACAGTAATGGTCTTTTTTCCTTGGAACTTCCATTTTCTATATTTTTTAATTTAATCTAGTTTTAGCATATGGTTTATATTATTCTTTTTAGGTGGATGAATCTGCATTTGAGATGGCTGAAGAGAGAAGTTTATGGAGTGCTTTCTTGTCAGTCAAAAACAAAGTTGATTCAAGTAATTGCTAATAGTTTTGCAGGATTTGATGTTTTGTGAAAATTATTTCTGAATTATTTTTTAATAAAAAGAATTCATTTCTCTTCTCTGGCAGATATTGAGGTAGATGATTTTGTTGAAGTATCTTCACAGCTAGTACAGCCGCTTGAAGATTTTTTTAATAATGTCTTCGTAATGGTGGTATGTTATCTTCACAGTTCATTTCTGCAACTTTTTACTTGTATATGATGGTAGTGCTAAACAATATTATTTATCGTATTACTATATAATATTCTTTACCCATCTGCAGGAAGAAGAAAGAATCAGAAAGAACAGACTTGCGCTGCTAAGAAAAATTGCAGACCTTCCCAGAGGCATAGCAGATCTATCGCTTTTGCCTGGGTTTTAATAATAATAATAATCTTTTTTAAGAGAAAAGAAAAGAAAATATGCGGGATTAGTATAATATAATGGAATTATTTATTTATTTATTTATGTGTGTGTGAGGTTCAGAACTAACGTCTAATCGGAGATGGAACAGGTAGGAAGAACATGTAGTTATATTTTGGTAAAGATTTTATCTAACACAAGCGCCATTGATCTCAGCCTCATGCCCTTTTATGGAAAAAATAGTTTTCTTGATGATGTGATGTAATATGAAGCCCAGCCAACTACCCAATCAGTTGTCAGATCACATTCACATCTGCTTCTGCTTATCCTGAGTATTATCTCAATGATGCATGCAAACCATCAGCTCACTAACACCACGCCGCCTCAATCCATTCAAGAAAAGACTTCCATCTACTACTAACTACTTACACCTCAAAAGGGGTGATGAAAAACATGTCACTCATTTTTACAGGTTTTAATTTTCAACCATTTGAAAATTGTTTTAATTATATACATACCTTCTTAGTAACAATGTACTTATACAAATACAAGTAAATTTCAATACTTTACTCTAAACAATAATGTTAGGTCAATAATTTTCTCTTACAATTTTTGATATGATAGTCTATCATTGGTTAACTAGTAAATGGACAGACAAACCTATTTTATAAGCTGATGGATAACAAATTGTTGTATCCAAAGTTGGAGAAAATTAGGAAATTAGATTATGTATCTAATATCATTCTTGGAAAATTAGGAAATTGAATTATATATCTAACATTATTCTTACCTTAAAACAAGAAGAGACAAAGGAAAAGGGTAAAACTCAAAAGCCAATTAGCTTTGGAATAAATAAAATCTTAACTGGAACTGAAACAATATATGTGATTGTGTCACATCAAAGTCTGCAAGTGGACAATTCCTTAATTTACAGCGGAGACGCCTCCATCGTACGGCAACTCTAAATAAATGAAACCCCGAAATCAACGGCTGTTGTCAAGCCACGTGGTCCGTAATCCATCCTTTAAATGTATGTACTATCAACTATGTCGTCACTAGTCCGAAGACGAGACAAAGCATAGCAACAGCAACCCCTAGAGATAAGCTCAAAACCCTTGTAACTCCCAGTGGTATATCCGTAAATAATATAAAAATGAGGACTAAACTGTAATTAAAAAAAACCCTTAACTTCCTTATATCACAGTACATAATATAAATAAAAACAAAAACAATATAATAATAGACACAACACTCCACACGAGCTCCTTGGAGCAACAAAACAACGGCAATAAATTGGGGGGGGGAAAAAAGCGTAAACGGATTAGGTCTCACTCTCTACTCTTGTTGCGGCTAGGGTTTCTCTCTCACTTTCTTTCTTCATTCAGTTCTTCTAACACTTTTAGTTTTGCTTTTTACAGATCTATACATACACACTAATAAAACATATCCATGGATGAGGTGTTGATAAGCTAGGGTTAGGTGGTCGCCTTTTTTGAGTGGGGGATTCTTTCGAAGTTGGGATTTCTTTGTGTGGTTTATTGAGTTATTATATTTAAGAAATGGCGACCATGAACCCGTTTGATTTGTTGGGTGATGATGATACTGACGATCTATCGCAACTGATTGCTGCACAACAGAAAGTCGTTGCTACGAAGAAAGCGCCGACTCAGCCGACAGCTCAAACCAAGCAACAGCCCTTGGCTCAGCCTAAGGCGGCTAAGCTTCCTTCCAAGCCTCTCCCTCCTACTCAGGCTGGTAAACCCTCTTTTGTTTTTTTTTTTTTTTTCTTAAATACAATACATATGTTTTTGTTCATGTATTTAAATAATGTTTGTTCTTTGTTATGTGACGTATTGAAGTTTTTGAGTATTTAAATTTTTTCTTTAAAACCTAAGATATTGTACTTGAAGATTATGGTGTGGATTGTGTGACTGATAATTATCTTCTTAAGCTTGTATTCTGTGGTAATTGGATGGAAGTGAGGAAAATTATTGATTGCCCTTATCGGAATATAATATTTAGTGTGCATTGTGTGTAGTTGATTTTTAAATTATTTGTTTTATTGACTGAAGTTGAATAAAAAAATTTCTGTTTTTTGTGTGTGAGTGCTTCATTATCTGGTCGGTGTGGATTTGATAAATTCCCATTAGACTCGTTCCCTTGAAGCTAGATAAAGTGTGTTGCTTTTTTCAAATATCTCCTTTAACTCTTCTGCTTGTTTCTTTTGGAGAACACAGGAGCAACTACAAATTCTTACCTATAATATGCATCTGTATTTCTATTTCGTTTTGGTTAATGCATTGTGATTGTGGCCTTATGAATCTAAAGGGCTTCTAATTTGTGATTTGGCTTATTTGTGGTGAAGCCTAAAAACTTTTACTTCCATTATCCACTGTCTTATTTATATTGCATTGGATGTTAGGAAACTACTTATTTTGATGTACTTATTTTCTTACCTTTTGTTGGGTATAGTGAGAGAAGCGAAGAGTGAAACTGGTCGTGGAGGAGGCCGTGGAGGTGGACGTGGTTATGGGCGTGGTCGTGGCAGCAGTGGAGGTGGATATAGGCGTGATTCTACCAATGATGAGAACTCATTCGGCACCAGTGGGGTCCCTGGTGGTCAAGGTGCTCTAGAAGATGGAGAGGCTGGGAAGAACTCTGAAAGGCGTGGCTATGGTGCACCTCGTGGTCCTTATCGTGGTGGACGTCGTGGCGGTTTTAGTAATGGCGAAGTTGGTGATGAGGAACGCTCTCGTAGGACATTTGAGCGCCGCAGTGGCACTGGGCGTGGGTAATATATATTTTAATTTTTTGTATTGATATGTGTTGAGAACCTGATAGGGGTCGTATCAATATGTCCTGATGCATTGGACCTATTCTCCTTATTTATGCTTCCAAATGTGGCTTTTATTCTATTTTCAGAAGTGAAATCAAACGTGAGGGGTCTGGCCGTGGGAACTGGGGATCCCAAACTGATGACATCTCACAGTGAGTATATCCTTTATGATCTTTGTCTTTTTCTTTTATTTTTTAATGAAAAAAAGTTAGGTGTGCAACATGTTAATTTAACTTTTGTGGTCATAAGATATGCTTTCTTGTTGACCAAAATACTTTGCTGTTATTGCACAATATCTAACAAATATTGGCTGGTATTTAGGGTGAATGAGGAAGTTATCAATGAAAGTGAGAAGAATTTGGGTGACGAGAAGCCCGCTGGAGAGGAAGATGTGGCCGATGGCAACAAGGACAACCCTGCTAATGAAACTGAACAGAAAGAACCTGAGGAGAAGGTGTGTATTTTAAGTAACATCATAGATGTCTGATTTACTCTATTATGTCTTACAATTTCCTTCTGTTACTATTTTTTGTGTTTTTCAGTAACGATAGATGTGTTTTCTCTACCATTATATCTTATACTTTTTCAAAAAATAATTAACAATTCTCATTGATTGATAGCTTGATATGATAGCTTTGCATAAATTCAGATCCATGTCTATAGTAGCAGTTCTTTCAATCACAAGGAACTTTTTTCTTCTCTATTATAATTATTATCATTTTCATAAGCAATACGCATAAATTCAGATCCATGTCTATAGTAGCAGTTCTTTCAATCGCAAGGAACTTTTTTCTTCTCTGTTATAATTATTATCATTTTCATAAGCAATACCTAAGGAAGAATCAATGTTCATTTCTTTTGGATGAACTGAGAATATTGTCTGGATGTTGTTTGTTAAGATTACAACCAGAGTATTGTCTTTCTTATGTTATAAACCCTGTCTGAGGTCAATGGGGAGCTCCCTACTCTTCTGGCTTGTGACTGAAGTGTATTATGCAGTAAGAATTTTTTCAGTTACTGTATATTCTTTAGTCAAAACTGAAGAAGCTTTATATGCGCTTATTGTCATGTCCACCCTTTACAAGGGTACAGACAAGCTTTATAAGCCTTATTGCTGTTAATGATTATTATTCTGGCCTCAAACAATTGTTCCTTGCAAAATAGGAGATGACTCTTGAGGAGTATGAGAAGGTCCTGGAAGAGAAGAGGAAAGCCCTGCTGGCCCTTAAGACCAAAGAAAGAAAGGTTGACGCTAAGGAGTTTGCGTCAATGCAACCACTCTTCAATAAGAAAGGCAATGATGATGTCTTTATTAAATTGGTAAGACTTTTTGCAACGTTAGAAAATTTTCTTTTGTTATTGATCTTATGAAGCTAATGGAAATATGTTAAGTTAATCATCTCTGCTGATTTATTTTGAAGGGTTCTGAAAAGGATAAGCGGAAGGAGGCTGCTGAGAAGGAGGAGAAGGCGAAAAAGGTAAATTACTTGCCTATTACAGTTAACTTTTCCCACTTCCTCTTTCAGCTTATCCATATTAATCATCGTGTAATAGAATAATATTTCTGTATACTTGCAATATGATTATGAAACTATGCAAGAAGAGCTTTGAGAGGCATAAAATTATTATATTAATTTTCAGAACCAGGATCTTTCCTAATTTGTTATGGTTTCTTGACATGTTCTGAAATTTTGATTATGTTTGGCGTAAATAAGTAGTATAAAATATGACATGGAATTATAAATTATGAAGTTCATTGCCATGAGTTTTATCTACTGTTATTATTATAATTGCTCAGAAGCGTTTGATTTTTGCCTGAATTTCCCTATCTTTTTTAGCTGGAACTTGTACTTGCCCTTTAGGCTAAGTATGCATCGCCTCCTTGTAGGCTTATCCTCAATATTCTATCTGGCATTGTTTGAATTTGGGGTATTAGCCCATTTATGTTGTACATCAATGGTGCAACTTTATTGAACCTGGAATTTGGTCGCGATAGCGTCTGTATTGACTCTTATGTAATGATGCTTCATCTGATCTGTACTTCACTTCTTTTTCAATCAATTTTGCATAGTTCTAAGGGCTTGTGCTCGGGAGTAGAAGATCAAATTAAGTCTTTTGTGTCTCAAGTTAATTGTAATTGAGTCTTTCACATGATTGGACGATTCTCTTTGTAATTTGTTGTCACCTGAAGCTGTTTTTGATGCCAACTGATGCATTTTGAGAATGATCATTTGGTTGACTCTTTTCAATCTGTCTATAAGTATGTTTTTTTATTTTTTGTTTGGTTTTGTTGAACTACTACTAACTTGATTCTTTGCTTATAGTCTGTCAGCATCAATGAGTTTTTGAAGCCCACTGAAGGGGAGAGGTATTACAACCCCGGTGGTCGTGGTCGCGGACGTGGCCGTGGTTCAAGAGGAGGGTATGGCGGGGGCAGTGCAATGAGTAGTGTGTCAGCCCCTTCCATTGAGGACCCTGGTCAGTTCCCAACCTTGGGGGCTAAGTGAGATTGTCTAGAACCCCATTTAAATCTCTGTTGGTTTTTCAAATTTTGGGTTCTTTCCTTATAATCATGGTCAGGAAATTGACTTGAATAATGTGGTTTCCTGTATCAGAAGAGATCTTTTTAATTTTATGCTTTAAAATGTATATTTTAGGCGTTTCTTCATGTGTGCCCATGTAGCCTTGGTATGATTTAACAGTTAAGATTTTGGGGCATATGAAAACTATTTATTTACGACTAAAAATTATCTTGGCAGTTTTGAGGATTTATTAATAGCTTAATATGCCTGTTTCTGTTATGATACAATATAGATTGTCTTGTGGCTGGTAATTATTATATCTTCAAATGAAAGACTTGCTCTTGTCGCTGAAATTGGGCTTAATGTCCATTATCGCCTTGTTCAATATCGAACAATTTCTAAAATCAAACTTGACTTGTCATCTAGCGTGTTATTAGTTATATCTGAGACTGCGAATTTCTATTACGGTAACAGGATTTCTATGTATGTATAAACAAGTAAACAACGCGAGGAATAAAACGTCACTTTATATACCAAACCCAATGGTTTCAAAAGGTCTTAATCGCTATTTGGAGAAACAAAAATAGATTTAATTGTTTATGAAAATCATTTTATTGATTAATTTGTAATATCCAGTACTGTTGAGCATTGTTTTGATACCCATCCTGGGACTGGGCTGGAGTCGGAGTTGGAGTCGGATGAGTTATCACTATTAACTATTTACCTTAAACTCTAAAATTATGGATGACGATTGGCAAGCATACAATGGGAATTATATTGAGGATTTTGTTAAGGGAGTGTCCATGAGTCCAAAGGTGGAGTGATTTCCGATGAGTGAATCAGTCAAAAAAGGCAAAATCAACCTATTGTCGGTGATTGGCAGAACGAAGAGGGGAGGCGTGAGATGAGTTTGGTCAAAAGGCTAAGGGGAATGTTTTCGGAGTGATAGAGAGTGTTGTCGTCACTGGAATCAAACCCTATTTGACCTCGGTTGTCGACGCCAACAATAGTGTTTAGGGTGTGTTTGCAATATTTCAAATCTATAAAGATTTTTAGGGGTATTTTTTGTTAAATTTCAAACCTTTAAACACTGGTTTGACCCGCCAATGAAACAGGTTCAAACTAGGATCCGACCATTTTGCCAGGTTTCACCCCATATTAGTTATTAAAACATTGCTGTTGAGTAAAATAAAAAGTCCCCATATTGAATAATTTGTAAAATCTTTCATCTTAATTCGAAGTATACCAGGCCAAACAAAGATTTAACCTTATAAAGCTTGAACAATGCTAAATCCTATGGCTAACACACAAGATTCATTTTGTTAAATCTTAAACAGATGAAATGGAGCATATAAATGAACCGTATACAATGATGACCCATGACCCTTCTTGTTCCGGGCATATTGCTCCATTTGAGTAACGACTCGTTGAGAGGGTATTTGAACAGCAGGAAAACGAAAAGATTTAATAAATCTTGAGCATTGACAAGATATACTTGTGGAAATCACAATAAAAGAATGTGACAGAACGAAGAAGACTAACATTCATTGGCATTTCTACTTTGTACAAGCCTTCATAAACAAGTGTGTAGAAAGAATGCGATCCTCCAAGCATTGGTTTTAAAATCATTAAGGAGACCTGTTTTTAATGTAGGTCCAGAAGATACATGTTTTCAATTCAAACGACTAAAAGATAAGTGTAATCTTACACACCACAACATCCAGCAGACTAGAGCAAACTGAAGTTATTAATACATTGATACTTAAGAGGAGCAGCAGCCACTGTTCTGCGCAACAGGCTGACCTCGGATCTCTACCGTTGGAGGTCTTGCATTGTTCATGGCTGGTTGACTTGCCATTCTGCATTCAGTAACAAATTTAGAAATGAGTAAATAAATATGACACAAAGTTTACAGTTTTCTTATTAAAAAAAAAAAAAAAAAAAAGACTTTTGAGTTAGCTGGAATTACTTGTAAATAGGTTCAGAAGGAAACAAACAGTATTGTTTGATAAATGAGGCTTAAATATTATCAAAATTATTAACTAAAACACAAAAAATTATAATTCACAATCATTAGTTTCTTCAAAACTAAGGACATTGCTCACTTCATGATGCATTAAAGAGTATAGGAAAATCGTGAGATGATATATGGTCAGACCTTAGGCATCATGCCAATAGAAGAATACCATGCCATTTGGCAGGTTACTCACCTGCCCACTAAATACTCATGCATACATATATACATTACATATGACATAGATTTACACCAGCTTTCAATTTTCATCAGACTCCTAGATTTCAACTTCACCTGACTTGGAACAAACTTTTGTTATGCATTTTAACAAGTTATCAAAAACACTCATGTAAACAAGTTAAAACGTTGTTATTAGGGCCTTTTTGCAACTGCTTGAGAAAGCTAGCAAAACACGCTGTACGACTATCAATGGGTACAGCATTCAAGGATTATTCTTTAACTACCAGAGTCCTATCAAGACCTCATATAGTTGCCAAGTAATGGCACAATTGAAAAGGAAGAACCATCTTCACTGTATGTACATCTAGACACAACTAAATGACTCTTTTCTCTCCCATACTTGTGCAGTGTAATTACTTGTTCAGATGGACATGCTCCAGAAAAAAAGAAAAATTTGGATCATTACCTATCCTTGATTGCAGCAGCCATGGCCATGAAAGCTTGTTCTACATTTGTAGAATCTTTTGCACTGGTTTCCATGAAAGGTATTCCAATTTCATCTGCAAATGCCTAAAGCAGGGGAGAAAATACAACAAAATATAACTTGATCAGACAACCTAGATAAATTCATAGTATCCCATCAACATTTTTAAGGGGAAAAGATAGCCTGCCAATTAGAAAAGTAGCTATACCTTAGCTGTTTCATATGACACAACTTTATTAGAAGTGAGATCACACTTGTTTCCAACCAGAAGTTTGTTGACACTATCACTAGCATAGCGATCAATTTCACTTAGCCACTGCTTGACATTATTAAAGCTCTCTTGGTCCGTTACATCATAAACAATCTACCAGAGAAGCCACCCACAAGCAAAATGTTTTGTGAGACTCAATAAAGGGTTGAAATTTAACCAAAAAATGTAAAGCTTAAAATGAGGTTGAGACACCCACAATGATACCATGTGCCCCACGGTAGTAGCTACTGGTGATTGTCCTAAATCGTTCTTGCCCAGCAGTGTCCCACTACAAGCCAAACAAGTTAATCACTGCACAAAACATTGAGAAACTATACCCCTAGCAGAAGGTGTATCCAAAAATTAAAAGACAAAGACAATGCAAAGCTGAGGATTATGAGCACCGATTACTGTATTAAATTAAAACATAGCATTATCCTGGTGGAATATCACGAAAAGAGAAGGGCAGCCCTCTCCTATAACAGACAAAATTTGTTCCACTAAAATGGAAGAACCCACTTGATGAATACATGTCAGAGGAAAACAAAAATAACAATTATGAATAAAATGAAAAGGAAGCAGTAAGTAAATAAAACCGTACTATTTGAAGTTTAACGGTCTTCCCATCTTGCTCCACAGTGCGTATTTTCTACCTCAAACAGAAAAAGACATTATATAAGTGCTACTGGGTCATACATTTCTGTCAGTATGGAGTCAACATAATGATAAGCAAGTGCGCACTTACAAAATCGACTCCTATTGTGCTGATGTAACTGTCAATATATGAATCATCCTGAACTCAAGAAACAAAGGATACAGTCAACTTCACAGGTTAAAACCCCTAAGAAGTCAAAATGCAATCAATATACCTAAATTCATGAATAAATTTCCTTTTTTATATGTAAGAAAATAAATTTCTGGTTTATTCCATAATCCCTTGCTTTAAAAAAAAAAAAAATTAGAAATTCTATCACAATTAAATCACGATCTTCTCGCTACATAGATGGTGTAAATTGTCATAATATAACAGCAGGTAAAACATTTGGACAGATGGAGGACATCCAACTTTTTTAATGCGATACTTATTTCCCATGTGTAATCCAGTTTGCATAAGAAAATTAGCACGTAGGAAGGTTGACCACCTGAAGAATGTTTTCTTTTGAAAAAATAGCATGATGAAACTGAGAAAAAACAGCTACTTAATAAAAATTACTCTAGAAGCTTACAGCAAATCTCAAGAGAAGACATGATTTTCCAACACCAGAATCTCCAATAAGCAGAAGCTTAAACAGATAATCGCTGCAAACAGAACATTACAAAATTAACCATCTGTAATACGCATAGACCACAAAACCTAACAAAATACTAGCCAAAACCTATAACAAACACGCACCACAAATTTTGTTGCCTGAGATATTCTAATTGATTCCACAACAAATTAATAACACAATATAAATGTTAAATTCGAAAATATATTTTTTAACAATCAATTTTCCATGGAAGAATACATAGATAGAAACTGATCCTTCCTTACCAAATAGGAAACATTACTCACAGAACTTGTGTGAAATTAAGTTTCTAGAAAAGTGGAATAATCTATAATATTAATCAACATAAATACAAAGACTAATTCACACAGAATAATACGTTTGCCTAAAAAACCAATGTGAAATATCTCAAAAAAAAGCTAGTTAGAAAGGTAAAATATCTACATAAGGGTTAAGAGATAATGAATTGGAAAAGTTACAGATGTTCAATTCAACACAAGTATCATCATATTAACACAATAAACGGATCTAATTCATTTAACTGATCATCCATATTAAACTCGCTATTCATAGTAACATAACTAGAAGAACAACACAAAGAAAATGAAACGATAGGTATATCGGATCAAAATCCAAACCCTAAGAAAAAAATAAGCATCATAAAATACATTCTATAATAATTTCAAATATATAAAAAGAGAGAGAGAGAGAGAGAGAGAGAGAGAGAGAGAGAGAAGAGGAACTTACTACTCGGGATTCATTATTATTGCGTGCGTACAGAGAGAAAAAGAGGAGTGGAAGCAGCCCGATGGTGAGTCGGACGAGATCTCGCAATCCGAATTTCGCCGGGAAAAATAAACTCGTCAACAAAAGAGAAGATAAGACAAGAGGAAATTACAAGTAAAGGGCAGCCGAGGGAAGATAGAGGACATTCAATTCACGATTATTCTTTCTTGTTTCGTTTTTTCTTTTTAACTTTTTGTGGGCGTTAACGGGCCGAACAATCGCCAATTGACCCCGCCCAATAACCCAAACTGGGCCAACTTTCTCGGTTATCATGGATAAAGTTTAACCCAACACTAATCCAACATTCCTCAATTTGTATTTTGTGAAAACCAGCTGGTTAAAGCTTAGCCGATTATATTTTGTGCATAGAAAAAAGAGTAACCCAGATGCATGCATGTGACCTTCCATAGCCGTATATAAAAGAAACACAGAGCTTTCATTTTGTCATCATATTGTAAGTAACGTAACAGCTAACAACAGTACTAAACCGCCCCATGTGAACCATAAGCCAGCTTGTTACCAAGTTTCTATCAATGATCAAAGGTTCCATGTCTTCGCTTGAAATACAGACCATATTTCTTTGTCTTTTGCGATGCAATTTGGTAACATTGACTATCTCGATCGCATTAAATTAATAACCCCATCCCTTTTCTTTATTAAAATGATCGACCAACACTATACGCAAAAATTTTATGACAGTATGTATAGAGGAAGTAAAGATGTTCTATAGAATACATTAGCTGTGGTATATTGAGAAACAGATATATTGATTAGGGTTTGGTCTTCAATAAAAGGAAAAGAATTTCACAGACAGAATTCAGTATTGAAAATGAGTTGAATAAGGGAAGTGTTATTTCGAAACCACATTCATATCTTAATCATTTCATGAGAAGATCATATAAGCAGCAGAGATAAAAGAGTTCACCGGTCTTCAAAGTTCAGTTCAAGAGAATACCATGCATCTTGATAAAACTTTCTTGAATATCTTACTTTCGACAACCCTTGATCTATTTCTCTATGAGCACGTTTTCTTCTGCAACCCATCAAATGGTTCGGGAGGGGAGTGATGGTGGCATTTAAATTTTAAGCCAATTTCAATATTCTTTTTATTTGATTTTTAGTTTCTAGCTGATGGCTTTGTAGTTTTATGGTAAGTTTTTATTGCATTAATATGCTAAATTTTTTCAAGTCTCTCTATGAACATTTAACTGCATCTGCATGCGTCCTTAATCCTTAATTAATAGCTTGAATTTGCAAAGTTTTCAGTTTACCAATGTTTTAAGTTGGTCATAGTCTATTAATGCATGCATGCTTCCCTGATTAAGAGCTTGAATCTTGCTATCAATGACGCTGCAGGTTGGGACCTGGGCGAGCATCTGGCTATCAATGACGCTGGGCCAAAGTTTTATTGGGCTCTGGTTGAATTTTTGCTTTTACAGGCACGCACGTAAAGGAAGCAAGGGATCCAACTCACGGATTATCAATTATAATATTTTTCATCTCAGTTAAGATTACATATTCAAATCATGTAAATTGAACGATACTCACATTTTCTCTTTTTATCTATTCAAATTGTTACGCAGTAAATCCACACTCCACGATTCATGCCATGTATCCCGAGACTATGTTGTCAGTAGACAATGTGTCATTTCATCTGAGGATTACTTCATATGTAAGTTTTTTATTGTATCATTATATAAATCTATTTTTTTTACTCTAATTGGAGAGGACTTATTCATAATGTGTGCGAGCCACACTTGTATATAGAAAAAGCAAAGAAAACAATCCAAAAACAATGAACGTAAGCTTTGCAATTGAGCAACCGAACCACTTTAAGAAATTTTTTAACTCTTTGTGTTTTGTGTTAATCCATAATATGATGATTAAGCTACAAATTAAATTTACCCAAATCTGTTTATTTGATCGGTTAATTAAGGGCGAACGACATGCACCCACCTAAGAGATTTGAGGTAAAGACAATGTAGTACCCAGTTTGGAAAAGACAAACAAGTATTTTCAAGTATTTTCTGTCATTCTCTGTTAAGATTTCCGTCTATTAATAGTAACACTGCTTAAAAGACTGAAATGCCCTTAAAATTTTGCCATGGCAGTTAATAATTTTTTTTTCTTCTTTGTCATTCTGGTTTCATTTCTTCTTCTCCATCATTCTTTTTTTCTTCTTATTTTTTTCTTCTCCATTGGTCTCTGTTTGATGAAATAGATTGACAAAATTGCTCTTTTTCTTGTTCCTTCTTCTCCGCCGTTCTGAAATCTTCATTAATTGATAAGATTTCATTACAAAATCCATTAAAACGCCGACAAACCAAACCCTAAAACTAACCATCGAAACCATACAGAGTCCGACACCCCACCATGAAGAATCTTCATTGGCTTGACGCTGTTACGCCTCACCAGATGCTGAATCGCTGGCTTCTTGACCCCCTAAATGTTATCTCTTTTTCGCTCCCCTCTTTCCCAATCCCTTGCCTCCCTTTCCTCTTCCTGCCATTTTTGTTTTTTCTTTTGTTTTCTTTTTTTCTTACTCTTTGTTTGGATGTTTGTTGCATTTGGTGAAAGACTGATAACAGGGGAGAGAGAAGCAGTGTGGTGAGAGACGACGTGCTGAGAGAGAAGCAGTGTGGCTTTGCCAGAAAAAGTGTGAGTGACCACACCAAAGAAGAAAGGCAAGACAGATGGGGTTGAAAGAGATTATTCAAGTTAAGCCACAGACTTCTGCTCAACCGTGCATTAATAAGAGAGGCAGTCTAACTCTACTATAACACAATCTTTCTTTCTTGCCTCATTCTGTATAAAAAATATCTACTTGTGGAGGGAGTGATCATCTTGTCCTTGGCTTGTGAATGGAAGAAAGGCTACATGGTATCTGAGTTGAAAAGCACACAAACTGAAATGCCATCCCTTTGGAGAAGAGGAATGTTTATGATGATGACAGGGTATCTGAGGCTTTCCTCCTAAAGCCAATTATTTGTTTTTAGTGGACTATGTGGATCGTGGCAAGCAGAGTTTGGAAACAATATGTCTTTTGCTTGCATATAAGATTAAGTATCCTGAGAACTTTTTTCTTCTACGAGGAGACCATGAATGTGCTTCTATTAATAGGATATATGGATTTTACGATGAGTGCAAACGGCGGTTTAATGTGAGACTTTGGAAAGCCTTTACTGACTGTTTCAACTGCCCTCCTGTGGCAGCTCTTATAGATGAAAAAATATTGTGCATGCATAGTGGTCTTTCTCCTGACCTGTCAATCTTGGATCAAATTAGAAACCTTACTCGTCCTACTGTTGTTCCCGACAATGGTTTACTTTGTGATTTGCTCTGGTCGGATCCTGGAAGAGATGTTTAAGGATGGGGAATGAATGACAGAGTAGTTTCATACACCTTCGGAGTTGACAAGGTGTCAGAATTCTTGAAAAAGCATGATTTGGACCTAGTCTGTCGTGCCCATCAGGTGGTTGGATTTTCCACTCTTTCTTTTCAGTTTGTTTTTGGGTAGAAACGTTGCATTGCCTCATGCTAATTATTTTTTTCTTATTATAGGTTGTGGAGGATAGATACGAATTCTTTGCCGACAGGCAACTTGTTACCATATTTTCAGCTCCTAACTATTGTGGTGAGTTTGATAATGCTGGTGCAATGATGAGTATTGATGAAGAATTGGTGTTCTTTCCAGATTCTTAAGCCGGCAGAGAAAAAAGCTAAGTTCTTCAACTCTAAGAAGGCATGCTTTGTTTCTGTAAGGAGTTCACTTTTACTATTAACCAAAAACAAGGGTCTTTAAGAGCACAACACGAGGTTCAATCAGACCAGAGAATATCTCTTCTGCAAGAGCAAGCATCAGCTCAATCTCCTTGCCACCGGCATAAGCATGAAGCAAAGAACAGTATGTTAGCTCATTGGGTTTACACCGTCAGGCAATGTTGGTTTGTGAATGTATTTTCCCTTCACTCGTCGCAAACAGTTTTCCATCACTCCGTCATGGTCGTCGGTTTTAACTCGTCCTCCCCTGTTGCTGGTTCATGTTTCACTGGTTGTCGTCGATGGTTTCGTTTAGGTCGTCGTTGATAGTTGCCGTTCAGTTGCTCAAAGCCTCAAACTCTAGACAAAACACAAAGCCACGACAAACGAAAAGCCAATAGACTTTCTTTTATTCTTCTTTTTTATTCAATGTCAATTGTTAAGGACACATGTCAAGCTCCTAATGAATATTCCAAGAGAAGCTTCTTCCATTAATCGAGAAAGATAATTAAAATTTTAAATTTGACTGCTCTATATACAATTACTATATTACCCTTTAATAGACTGAAAATTTTAACAGTGAATGATGGAAAGAATTTGTTTGTCTTTTCCATTTACTTCAAACGTTGGGTGGGTGTATGTCGTTCAGCCGTTAATTAAAATAGCATAAATACGTGTACAGCTGCAACCAGCTAAGCATGCATACGACTATACTTTAAGGTCACGTTTGGCTGAGGAAAGCTCTTTCCTTCTCCAACTTACACGTGGCGAGAATTCAATTACTATCGAAAACGTGGCATGTTCTTATTAAACAGCCTACGCTATATACAGCTGGAAAAGTTCTAATGCAAAAGAGCTGTTATTTTAATAAATAAATAATATATTTGATTTGTTGAAACGTGGCGCGAATAATGTGGTTGATCCTGAAATGCTAAATCAATATATTTATCAAGGAAAATATCAGCCGTTAGATTAACATAATTCTCGGAAACGAAGGTATCTTTCTTCTGGAATCTGGATAGCCCATCTCTGTAACAGAGAGAACGAAGAGCGATAACGGGAACTAGAAATAGAGTGATAACTGATAACTATGAGCTGAGCAGCGCGTGTCATGTAAGCGCTAACAGGAGACTGGGTTGTATAGCGTTTGAATTTTCTGTAAGTAGTCTTTTATTTCAAAAATTTTGTACAGGACTGCTTGATCCAAATTGCATTGAAAATTTGATAATTACCTATTTCTACGAACTAGCATTGCTCTATTGAATTTAATCCTTGTAATCACATTGCGTTATCAAAATGTTGAATATGTTTACTGCCGCTTTGAATGCTTGACTGATCTCCGCCGTTGGATTTGTTTATGATCGTTTGCATAATTTGGGGAAATTTTTCATTA